GGCTCAGGCACCTTCGAGTCTTCGACACAATCGAAGAGGAAGAGGCTGCGGGAAAAGGGAGGGAGGGAGGAAGTTGGACTAATAATATGCTCTTTTGGGATGTATAATTAAGCGGGCGTAAAGCGGACTACATTGGTGGAGCCGGATAATTACTATTTAATATATTCTTATTAATAGTCTCATCCAATGCTATATACGGCGTACCAAATGAAATCCTAATTTCTACTGATTATTGTATTTAGTACTGTTTAAAACTTTTTAATTATTCATTGGCTTAATTTAATGGCAACTTCATTCATGTTCATCATATATATCCTCGGTTTATAATTTCGTACTCTAAGTAGCCGGTGTAAATTTACAAACAGATGGTAATAGAATTAACTTAATTTGTAATATTTGAATTTCCAGTTTTACACATGAATGATCTGAAAATTAATTTAATTGGAAGTATGAATTATGAAATGTCAGATATGTTGGACTTTGTATATACTAATTTTCAACAATTACATAAAAGCCAGAGAAATATATCACAATTTGCTGTGTAAAAACAATCAGAAAGTATAAGAAGGCAGACAAAACAATCATGATCAAAAAGTGTGAAATGGAAAATAATAAATTGGGAAAAGAAAAACAATTTTTGTTCATGAAACTATCAAATATATTGGTCAGAGGCTTGATGTGTAGGCAACACCAGCATCAGAGATCCACTTAGTTCCTTGGAGAAATGAATGCACTGTAAATTTGCTGGCTGCTTTTTGGTTGATGGTTCTCAACCCCTTCCATTTAACCCTATTCTTTGTGGAAGCACCAGGTCCAAAATTTTGAAATTCCGAGTAAAATACGGTGTCGGGAGCGCTATTGCCTACCCATGGCAACCATCCGTCAGTGCTGATGAGGTTTCCCATGTCTGTTTGCATGTACACAGTTGTGGAGTAATTCTTCCATGGCCTCCCGAGGAAAGTTTTGACCGAGGACAAGTCTCCAAAGGGCGATATGCTGCAATTGTGAATCGAAATTCCTGTATTTTGATTGGGATCAAACTTCCCTTGAGCTGTGATGGTGTTCTGCTGGCCAGGCATGGGAACCTTCGGCATTATGTTGCAGTTTTGGAGCACAACTGCTGAGTTCCCGAAAATGAAATCCACTGTTCCATAAATGTTGCACTCGCGGTAGAATTGGCGATTGGAGTGAGCATAGAGAGTGTCCTGGAATGCATCAATGTCGCACCTATAGAAGACTGACTGATCAGCAGTAGACAACAAGGCCACTGCCTGGTGCTTGGCTGGTCCTGCAGTGTTGCGAAATCCAATGTCCCGGGCAATGAATCCCTTTCCAAAAACAGCTGCATACAAAGAAATAAATGTTTCTATTACCATTATGATATGAAACATTTACCAGCAAACATTGCTGATCAGATCTCTCACTGAAAGGAGACTCATTTGCATGAGAAGAATCCCCTTTCAAAAGGACGTGGCGGTAATGTGATCAGTAAATATGCTAGCTATAGAGAGTTTTATCGAAATATAAGTTAATGCCAAATGAAAGTTTACCGAATGTGGCAGTGGAAAATGTGGGAGTTCCATCCACAACGTTGAGTTTGGCGGTTACAATAGTTGCATTCGAACCATCACCGACCACCAAAACATTCCACTTGGATTTCTCAACCCTCACATTCCCATAATAAACCCCCTTCTTGACGTAGATGACTGTTCTCTTCTTGCTCTTATCCGGAACAGCCTTGAGTGCATCCTGAATTGTTTTGTATTTGCTACTGCCATTGCTTGCCACGACAATGTCTGCCTTCTTCCTCAAATCCGAACTCTGAAGCAGCTTGCGATCCTTCCGATGCAGCCACTCTGGCACACCCTGGCTGTACTTATCGGTGGGATCAGGGTGTGTCAGCAGTCGCCTTAGATTTACTGAGTTAAGGATTTTGGAAATCCAAGAGACGATGGCGAGGCTGTTGCTAGTTAACTCATTGGAGTTCTTCAAGTAGCCGACAACTTTATCCTTGAGTTCTCCTTTTACATCATCAAAACCTTCAATGCAAGTCTGCTGATACGTGCCTGAAGAGCTCAGCCAAGTCTTGAGATCATCAAACACATCAACCAACGACTTAGCGTCAGAGAGTGAGTCGTTGAGATGATCCAATGCCAGACTCAAAAGGTCTTGACAATCTTTCAAAGCTGCCACGGACTCTGTGTCCTTGGCAATTACATTAAGAACCCCATCAGCCGAAAAATGAGTAGCGGCTTTCGACAATTCATTTATCGCCACCTGAATCGCCAACTTGAAAATCTCCTCAGGCTTAACATTGCTGGAGTTAACCAGAGGACCAAGACTGCTGTAACATGAATCCTGGTACAAGGTCACATCACAAACAGCCTTGACAGAAGTGGAGATGGCCGAGTCTTTAGAGTTCCCACCAGATTTATTATGAACGGTGGTTCCAACCACAGCAGCAACAACGACACAGACAAGAACTATGGACGATAGGCTTATGATGGCGACTCTCGTTCGAGTTTTCCGACGATTGTCGAGCCGGGCTTGCTCGGATTCATCAATCTTGCCATAGGATTTGATGGAAGACATAATGCTAAATGATTTTCCTATGTGGTCGAGGATTGCATGAGGGATGGTGGTTGGGTGTGTTTATATATATATGGAGGGTTTGGATAAACATATTGGTAGCCTAACGCGGTACTACGTGCTTTGCACTTAATTTTGGTAACATTCAACTGCTGGAGACTGGAGTGCTTCACATGTTAAAAGTATTATTCGTGCACTCCGATTTCCTCCCCCCACATACATATTATTATATGAATATGGTGTATTTAACTACAGGATAATGCAATCAAAATTTTAAATCAAATTTGGAAATCAATGATATGTCGCCAATAGGAAATAAGTACGTTAATTAACATTTAAGTAATAATTCAATCATTAATATCCATATCATTTAATTTATAAAATTTAGTTTAGAACGTATACATGTAAGTGTTATTCATGAACTCACTATTAATCATATATGTAATACAAGTATACTGATCTTGCCTCCCTGATTAATTAGGGACTAATCATTGTATCACTCTAAACAATTTACTAATCTTGATTGCAACGACCATACACCTAGTAATACTAATAATGTTGCTAAAATCTCATATGAAATGAAAAACAAAAGCCTAATTAAACATCTTTTCATACACTTGAATATTGTGTACTTGTGAATAATAACATATTACGAAATTGATACATCTAATTAAACTCCGAATGCTCGAATTTCTATCCAATTTCGTTGTGCACTTCGATTTCTTTAATTAAAGTTCAAATTTATTTCATTTTTGTCAACCATACTCTGGCTTCTTCATCCTCCAGATGTTGACCAACACATCACGATTCAGATAGACAAGTGGTCATTTCAGGTCAAGACGTGTCAGAAACCAATTTATGGCATAAGCTTAAAATAAATTAAAATTTATTATTTCTTAAAACGTATGTTGTACAAATTTAATAAAGAAAATTTATTTCTCAATTGGCAAGCAGACAAAGGAGGAGAAATTGTGATTGCAACACATCTGATCCAAATACTATTACCGTAGCTGAGACTCTTGCACTTCAGGATACACTTCTTTTTGCAAAATAGAGAAATATCAAGGATGTGGTGGTTGAAGGTGATTTCAAGATGGTTATAGATGAGATTCTCGACTAATGCAAGATCTCTTGGAGTCTCAGAACTATTTTCGAGAACATCAAATAACTGATGACCTCTTTTAATTCTATTCAGTTGCTGTTTATAAAGAAGCAAACTTCCTAAATGAAGGTATTACACTCATTAGTAACAATATTGACAACATTTGTATTTGAGATAGGGTGCTTCAGTGCTTCCTAGTGAAGCACGCCAACCTAGTGTTCCCGAGAATTCTTCTTTTCTTAATAAAGTTTATTTCCTAGAAAAAAAAAAAAAAAAAAAAAGAGATCACTATAGCCAAAAATTCTTGCCAATGTTTATCGAGAAGGGAAAAGAAAAAACAGTAGGGGTAACATTCAATTCTATCTGTTAAATCTTTATCCACGGCTGAGATTAATGCTTAGATAAGATTAAAATATAATAGCTAATTAAGTAATACATCTGGATAATTGAATATAAATTGTCTTTAATGAAATAAGCTAATTAGGTATCCATAACAGCCATATTATTATTCGCAATATTTGGTGTTTTGTGCCCGATTTAGAATTTTGGACAACGTTTTGAACTTCTATATTAGCCTACGTTCCTATCTATTTAGTGTAGATAATATTATTTGTTTAAAAAAAATTAATTAAAAATAAAATGAAAATACAAAAGTACCCTTAATTTAAACCTCCAATTTTTCTCTTTCTTCAAAATAGTGAGATGGGTAAATTGTAAAAAAGGAACACCCAGAGCGGTAATTATACCCAAATTCTACCCCATGTAACATAAAATCAAGAATTTGTGTCAAAATTACTTGTTCATTTTTTATAATATTGTTTAATAAACTACCACGAAGAGGATTTTTGGGTTCGAGTTAAAATAGGCGAGCGAGAACACTTGATGGGAGATGTATACATTGAGTTTGCAATATAATGAAATTGTCACACTTTGTTGAGTTGACAAAAGGGACATAATAATAATATTGTCGCACACGATGGAACGTAAATTAGCATGAATGTTTGATCTTCAATTCGAGTTTTAGTTTAAAGAAAGGAAAGAAGGTACATAGTACGTTGAATATCGATAAAGTAACTATAATGAAAAATTGAATTTTTGAATTATCAACGCGGAACGGTAGTATGCGTGCTATACAAGTTACTCTAAAATTCTAAATAGTAAAAAACCAAAAACCAAAAGGTTACGCTTACCAAAAGTAAAAAATAAAAAGGATAAGTTACCCACCCACGTCTCAAACCGCGGTTAAAACGTAGCTGAGTCTAGTTAAATAGCACGCCGTCCGACAAAAATTTCACTTTTGCTTCCAATCCTTTTGTCTGTCTTTTTCTTCTTCCATTTCTGTCTCTCCTGACCAGGACACAACTTCTCTCCCTCTCTCTGAGGAACCAGAGGGTGTTGAGGAGGGAGGAGCTGCCATCCCTCCGCCCCTACCAACCCATCAAATAGGTACCTTCATTTTCTGCTTTTTATTTGTTTACTTAAACTACTTGTTTCATTTCTCACTCTTCTTGTCAACTAAAAATATAATAATTGTCAAATGAATATTTTTATTTTATTCATCGTGTGAATTTTCATGTATTTTTATGGTTGATCTCTGTCTTAATGCTATCTGGTTGTTCTCTTGGTGTGTATTTTATATTGTACTTCCTTTAGTTGCAGGTCCTGGTGTTAGAATTTACCCTTTTTGTTTCTGTTTGATCTTTTTTATTTTTCGTGTTTTTCGTTGATTCTTAATCTTCTAGAACTTTGGATTTGATAGCATGGTTTTTTTAGTACAAGAGTAAACCACACTAAGGGCAATGGGTTGAATAGGAAGGCCCTAACCACCGGGGCAATCCACCACTTGCTGATAGTATAGTTTTGTAGTTCGAACATCTTATGATCCGAAGGGTGGCTACCCCGAATTTCCGTATCTATGTTAAACAATGAACAAACAAATTAATAAGTGAATTATATTGCTTAGATAGGTGGAATATGTGCTGCATACCTGCATTATATCAAGCTATAACATTTTGAGTTAAATCATGAAAATCAGTAACATGGTTTTGTGAAAAAATATGAAACTGATTAGTTGTGAATCTGTTGTTACCCAGTTCTGTTCTTTGTCCTTTGGAAGTTTTTTGCAGTTGCAGGGTATGCACTTGTAACATTTGGTTTTTGTTCTAATGATCTCATGTTCCTCATGTTGCTGATTGGTGTTTTTTTTCTTTTTCATTTTTCATTTTGTTTTTGGTTTGTAACTGATGTTGTTGCTTTTGTGCATAAGGTTTTTGTATGAGGGTTTTGCTTTGGTTTTTTTCGTCTTTTTTGTTTTGAATGCAAAACCGCGGAAATCCGTTGCGATTCTTTGTTTGTTAATATTACTTGTTTGATTCATGATCAATTAATATATATAGCTTTGCTTGTCTAAGTGGTTCTGACTTCTTTAATGTATTACTTTTTATGTTTGCAATTAATCGTATTCGTGAAAGTATGTAATTTTCCCTTTTATTTTCATTGAAGTAACGTTGTTGTTACTAGTTCCATGTTCCTGATCTCCCGTATGCGACAATTGTGGCTTTAACTGAGTTATTCGTAATTATCATTTGCAGAAGATTTCATTTGTTTTTGGGTTTGCTAATCATATAAAGAGTAGAAGGGTGGTGAAGTTGGCGTGGACTGTATTTCATTACCCAATTGTTATATATTTGTATACAATCAGCATTGTTCTTTGTTTTGGTGGTGGATGGCGATCATTGAGGAGTTGGAGTTCATTGAGGACCTGGACTTTCTTTTGGCTCTCCCTGAGGAAGGTGAGGCAGCCCCAGAGCATGACCCAGAGGCAACAGTGGAGGAGGATGATAGTGACGACGAATTGGATGTTAATGAGCTTGAGAGGAGGGTGTGGAAATATAGAATGCGACTGAAGCGGCTTAAAGAGCAAAATAAAGGAACAGAAGGAGCTGACAATGCTAGGCAGTGTCAGCCACAGGAACAAGCTCGGAGGAAGAGGATGTCACGGGCACAAGATGGAATCCTGAAATATATGTTAAAAATGATGGAAGTTTGTAAAGCCAAGGGTTTTGTTTATGGGATTATCCCCGAAAATGGTAAACCAGTGACTGGTGCGTCTGACAGTCTTCGCAAATGGTGGAAGGAAAAAGTAAGATTTGACCATAATGGCCCTGCTGCAGTTTCTAAGTATCTGGCTGAACATCCAATCCCTGGGAAGAATGAAGAGTCCCATGCAGTACCATCCACTCCTCACAACTTACAGGAGCTCCATGATGCCACTCTTGGTTCACTTTTGTCGGCTTTGATGCAGCACTGCCATCCACCCCAAAGACGTTTCCCGTTGGAGAAGGGTGTTGCCCCACCTTGGTGGCCCACTGGCAATGAGGAATGGTGGACTCAATTGAATCTGCGCAAGGATCAGGGTCCTCCCCCATACAGGAAGCCTCATGATCTGAAGAAGGCTTGGAAGGTGAGTGTTCTCGCGGCTGTGATAAAGCACATGTCGCCCGATATTGCCAGGATCCGGAAGCTTGTTCATCGGTCTAAGTATTTGCAGGACAAAATGTCTGCTAAGGAGACCACTATTTGGCTAGCCATCCTTAACCAGGAGGAGAATTTGGCCCAGAGGTTATATCCTGATGGATGTACACCTCCATCATCTTCTGGGAGTGGGTCTAGTTTTGCAATCAGTGGTACCAGTGATTATGATGTTGAAGTGGTTGATGATGAAGAGAATTATGAAGAAGAGGACTGCCAACCTCATTTTAATAACTTAAATATTGGAACATCTGGACAAAGAGATGGACTGATGCATCATTTTATGGCAGAGCTGACTGAGACCGATTCCGACTCTGGTCAAAAGAGGAAGCAGCTGCCTGAAGAGCCACAAATGATGTTAAATCATCAGGGTTACACCTGCGAATATCTGGATTGCCCGTATCATGATTATCACCTAGGCTTTCGCAACATAACTGCAAGGAATAATCACCAGTTGACTTGTTCTTACAGGAATAATTCTTCACAAGTTGGAATGTCAAGCGCTCATCCTAACGGTGACAAACTTGTGGGGTCCTTACCCAGTCCTCAACCTAATCCAGCTATTCAACAACCAGTGAACCAGACAAGTAGTTTTAATGCTTCCGGACTTGAACCTGCTGGGGATGAGCCGAATATGATATCGGAGTTTATGTCATTCTGTGATGGTAATACTCAGCAGAACAAGAACTCGGATCCTGGAAGCCTCGATGTTGTAGAAAACCACAACCAGCATCAGGTGAATTATCAATTTCCAATGGGTGATAACTTCTTTGATCAAAGGTTGGTTGTAGGACCCAACATGTCTGCAGCGTCACCTATGCCTATGCTTCCTCCAGCTACTCCAGCTCCTCCATCTCTCCCATCCACAGAATTTCAGTTTGATCCGTGCAACTTGTTTGATTCTCCATTTGGTAATCTTCCCGATAATACTGACAACTTAGGATTTGGCACCAACTTGCCGCGAGATGACTATAGTCTTGACTCGATGCTGGAACAAGATCCATTCTGGATGTGTCGTTGAAGCCGGGTTTGCTTGCATTGCGCTCCAATATATGAATAAGGATGTTCATATGTTTGTGAGCGGGGGAGGGATGTTTTCTCGACACAGTTCAGGTTGTCTCGTGATAATTCAGTTTTCTTTAGGTTTTTTAGACACAGTATTGGACCCGATTGGGTGAAACTTCTCAAGTTAGTGGTTTATTTTTATCGGTCGGACTTTTTAGATGTTTATAACCCTTGACAAATTTTGGGGAGTTTCTCGTACTGCAACTTTGTCATCAAGTCTAGGTTTCATAGTTGTTCTCAGTGCAGTATTGAGTAGGGCCTATAAAGGCCTGGAAAGAAGAACCCAATCTTATGGAGGAGGGTTCTTTTCCCTCCTAATCTCTTCCTTTCCATCCCCTCCTATTTGAACGGTTACGGTTTAGCCACGTCAGCATCTTATATTGATTTTTTATAGAGACAATAAGACAAAAAACAATATGTGAGAGGAGAGGAGGGGAGAGAATCCTACTTCCAATCTCATACACAGATACAGTACTTATGTTGAAATGTTTTGGACAGTTTTTGGTTGTTGGAGGACTTACATGACACAAGCACACAATTTTTGAGAACTTATATGACACAAGCGCACAGTTTTTTGAGGGTTTACATGACACAGTGTACCGTCATGATGAAGTTATATGTCAATAAAATAAAAACATGCATGTATATGTTTTTGTTCGTGTGGTATTGTTTTATTGACATGAGATGCCTTGTGATAGTGCTCCATGGCAGTGCACTGTGCCTTGTAAAGTGGTTCTCATCTAGTCGTATTATTCTACGAGACAAATGAATTCGGCCCCCCGAAGCCATGATACTGGTATCATGTGAATCAGTTTGGTCTTCCGTGTTAGGAATCTTAGGACTGAAAAATCAGGCAGAGACTGAAAAGGGGTCAAAGTTAGGTAAAGATCCTCTTCAAAATGTTTCGTGAAATCAAATGATTATATTTGTCACAATATAATGATAATTTGCACCAAGGAATAATGATTCCGACTGAGCTTAACAATACAGAGAAGAGAGCCTGGCTTCTTAAGTTGTGGAAGAGTTCCTCTTCAAAATGTTTCGTGACTTATTTACAGAATTTTGTGCCGCTCAGTTTTTAAGGTTTGAGGACAAGTTCCTCTTCAAATGCTTCGTGGCCTTCACATAACTTGGACTGTATGATCAAAATTGTTTATTTTATAAATTACTATGTAAAGTTCATTTTTTTACAAAAAGTTATTTAAAACTAAGATTGTTTAGTCAATAGAAAACAAATAAATAGTTCGTAATGTTTTTATTGAATTTGTCAAGCAATTTTTATACAACTCGATGACCTAACGATATTAATTTTAAGGGTAATGCTAGAGATACCAAATTTCTAACTAAATTTGTAAACCAAATGATGTGAATGTTGATAATTGGATTATTACTGAATGTTGATTAACGTGCTTATTTTCTATTAATGACCTTTCATTTGGTTTGTATATTTAGTTTAAAAATTTGATCACCCTAATATTATTCTAATATTATTTTATATTTTTATATAGAAGTGTTATTAGCACTCTAAAAATCTCATTCTACACTCCTCACAAATGTATTTTTCTTTCCAAATATAGAAAGTTTGGAATGTAGAAAGAGATTTTTGAAGTGTCAATAACAATTCATTTTTTATAAAGACGAACAATTCTAATTATAACACGAAATTATATAAATAGGCGACAAAATATTTTAAAGTGGCTTGTTTTCAACTTTAAGGAGCTAAGCTCTTCTCAATAATATAATTATAATAATTTGATACCGTAGTGCGATGAACAGTTAAGCACGTGGTTTGTAGTTTTCAAATATTTAATGGGTGCTAACGTGGCTGATGACTGCTTGGTTGTCTCGTGTATACGTGGTGGGTGGGAGGGATTGATTCACCCAAATTAGGAATTAAAAAAGTCATCAAGGCTATTATGGTAAAGTCAATCCACTGATTATGATTATCATGGAGTGGTGTTATACCCATTCCAATATCTTATTTTCTCATCCATCTTATATTTATATCCATTACAAAATGTTGAAAAATACATAAACTCTTTTCCCACTCACCATTATTTCCAAAATAACCTTGCATATTCTTTCTTCAAATTTTCCTTGCTTTGAAAAATTATTTTAATTTAAAAAAAAATTATCATTACTCAAAAACTCTCCCTACCCATAATATAAAAATATCGAATTACTCAAAAAAAGAACTTCAAATATCATCACCAGGCAGCATCTCCCTCCCCAAAAAAATCCCATAATTGTAACTACCAACACCCCCAAATCCTCAACCATGACACCAAGCAGAAAATGTTTCCAGCCCAAGCTCCACACGAGAGGTATGGTGTGCATGACTGGTTTGTCTTATTTTAGTCCAAAGACTTAAAAAATGAGTCATTTTTTTACTTATATTTGTCTCCTTTTTTTCAATTTTTTTTTATGAGATATTTCAAACTTTTCAGTATAATTAATCGAAATTCTACTATGTTTTGCTGTATAGTATGTATGAGGTAAATGAAGCATTAATGTGCACTAACAGATCCACAGTCAATGATTCAACGGTCACAGATTTTGATAAATAATATACACCGGTGCATACTAAGCAATTCTCTAATTAATATCATAGCATGCACCTCCCTTTACTTATATATAACTCATTTTATATTTATACTAAGGAGGTGGGGAGATAAGTTGGTATTAAAGAGATTCGAACATAAAACACCTCACTTACTAGTGAGGAATAATACTATACCAGAGTGCTAAGCGGCAATATTTCTCTATTTAATTATTTTTTAGGGTTGATCTCAGTTTACTACCCTGAAGTTTTTTGGTTTTCAACATTTCTTACATCAATTTTTTTCATCCCAGTCTGGTACATAAAGTCATAAACAAATTAAGCAATTAGCAACATTAGGATAGATGAATAAAATTATTATTTCAAAGTAGGTGGGGAAATAAGACATTGGGGTGGACTTAGTAGCACTCTTATTATTATTTAAAGTAATCCATCTAATTGGTTGTTTCACGTTTTGAAAATTTCTCTCCCTCGCACGTTTCGACGCATCCCTTCACCATTGCATTTTTTATTTTATTTTTTTTACAGTTCCACTAATCACCCATACTTTCGAACGCAAGAGACTTGTAGCTCAAGCTGATATCATGATTGAAATGCCATTTTCAATCATGAAATGAAAGGTTAAATAAAGCTTTGGAGGTAAATTTTTTGCTCTTAAATATATGATTTAGTGGCAAATTTGCATCACTGGTAGGAATTACAAGGAGTAATATAGAGTTATTTGAGTCATGTGAGCTCATTGGCCCATATTTTGACGCATCTGCATTTGGTTTTGCACTCAAAGTCTTGTATTTGATTTTTCATACTTTCTAATGTCACTTGTGGAAAAAAAAAAAAAAAAAAAAAAAACTCTCTCAGTTTGAAAGATGAAGGATACACAAAAAACTCTAATTAATAGATAATTGAAGTAATAACTAGTGATTGTACATATACTATGCACAAGGTTCTTAAAAATGCTAGGTGCTAGTTAGGAGGCGAAATGAGGCCTAGCGCCTAGAGACTAGGCGGTCTAGGCGGATGTAAGTAAATATATCGTATATCGTATCAATAAACTAAATTATCTTATAATATATAAATAAACATGAATAATATGTTATTTTTATAAGAAGAAAATATATATGTAATGTGAAAGTTTTAGGTATGGTGTGATTTAAAAAAAGAAAAAGAAAATAATAAAACATTATCCTAATAATTTCATATGTATTTATTTAATGGTGGAGTGTGTAATTGTATTTTATTATTTTAGTATAATTTACTAGCAGGTGGAGTGTGTGAAAGAATATTTTTAAATATTTTAGCCGTTAGATTTAAATTTGGACATTTAGCTCTTTTTTTATCGTTAAATTTGATTATATTAGATTTTAACCATTGAATTCAATGAATTTATAAATATTAAACTAAAAACATATATATGGTAGGCCATACCGATGACCTGTGGAAAATTTTGATCTAAAGTTGCCCAAAAAATGAATTTTGGGTTAAAACTCATATTTGACCCAAGAGTTGGAGTAAGTTTGGTAGGTTTAGAACTGAGTTTTACTCCAAGGGTTGGAATAGGTCTAATAATAATGTCTTAAAAAATGCTACTCTCACCACATATTTATACAATCATTGGTACTATCTAATAGAGATGAGACTCACATGTATTTGTCGACCCTATTTGTATTAGATAGATAATACAAACATGCGATAAGTGTAGTATTACTCATAATGTATGGATTACTGTTCAATACTACAATTTAGTATATCATTATATTAAAAAAATTGATATTAAATATAATATGTCAAAATTTTATTTAATGATTAATGTAGCCAATTAAATATAAGAAAAACTAATGAAAATGATTTGATAACTTTTGTAACATCCCACATCGCCCAAGGGAGTGATCATTATATGTATATTCTCATCTCTACCTAGCACGAGGCCTTTTGGGAGCTTATTGGCTTCGGGTTCCGTAGGAACTCTGAAGTTAAGCGAGAAGGGGGCTAGAGCAATCACATGATGGGTGACCCACTAGGAAGTTGCTCGTGAGTTTCTAAAAACAAAACCGTGAGGGCTTGGTAAGCACAAAACCGTGAGGGAATGGTAAGCCCAAAACGGACAATATCGTGCTACGGTGGTGGAGTGGGCCCGGGAAGTGATCCGCCCCAGGCCGGGATGTGACAACTTTGAGTTTTAACAATAAGGACAAAGTAAAGGGTAAAGTAAATAGTATCATGATTGATTTTTTAGTGTAAAAATATGATTTTTCATTAAAGTAAATAGTACTGAGAATTTTTTGTTAAAGTTCTCTTAAATATATATGTTAAATCTCCTTTTGTCAAATACTTTTTATTCATATATTGGGCCAATGGTCACATTAACTATTAACTATTAAAATATAACTAAAATTGATTTCAGCTATCATAATCATATTGGTTATCAATGTGATTTATGTAAAAATAAATTAAAGCCGTTTGACTCCATTTTTGTTTGTTATCAATAAGGACAACTTGAAAGTAAGAAATCAAACAACTCAATTGTCGTCACTTAGTACTACTATTTAGTAATATTCATTTGTAAGTAAGAGGTCTTAAGTTTAATTCTTACAAAAGACGAAGTTGAACCATATTATTGCTAGCTTATTTTAAGGCTTAACCTATTCTCTCACCATTTTAGTGTAGATAATATCATTTGATAAAAAATAAAATAACTCAGCTGTCCGCCAATTATGACATCTCACTTTAAAAAATCTTAATGTCGTTTAGTCCCAATTGATGTATTTAACTTCTCCTTTAAAAATAATCTAAAGTCCAGTCTTTTGCAATGAGTTTCACAACATAATTACAGAAAAAGGATTCGGGGTAATATTTATATTTAATTTTAAAATAAATTTTAAATGCATGATGTACGATAAATAGTCACGATTACAGAATTTCTAAAATATTGAAGAATTACAAGCTAAAATTGGATATACAGAACATTGGGTAAAATTTGGTTTGACCAAACATAAACATCAATGACTTGACTATTTGAATTGAATACTATTTGCGCACGTTTCTTAAGGGGGCAACTGGCAAGTGACTTGAGGGAAGAGAAAAGTGTACAAACAAAAAGAACGACAAGGAAATATCCACTGCAATGGTAGTCTCCCCACGTGGTTCCTTCCAAAGTATTAACCACGGTTAAACGATAACCTAACCCTAGTTAGATAGTTCACCTTCCAAAAATAAAAAGTTACTGTTGCTTTGCTTGTTCATATCCTTGTCCCTCCCCAACTCACCCACCCACCCAGCCATCTTTCCATCTTTTTCTCTCATTTTCTTCTGCCATTAACAAAGGAAAAGAAAACCCACTAAACTCTCTCCTCTGAGCAGAAAGGAAAAAAATTCTGTGTCTTTCTCTATCTCTCTCTCTCTCTCTCTCTCTCTCTCTCTCTCTCTCTCCCCCTCTCTGAGTAATCAGAGAGTGCTTGAGGGGCTTCAATGCCTTATACCACCACTTGATATCCATCAATCAGGTACCTTCATTTTCTGCTTTTCTTTTCTTCTTAGATTGTTTTGTTTGTGATTGTTCTGTGTATATTGGGTTTATGTTAACATGTTCTTATCTGCATATTAATTAATAAAGAGATATATTTGTTGTTAAATCTTGTGACTTTTCAAGGGTTTTGATGGTTGATCTGATTGCTCCTACTGTATCTGATTTGTAGAAACTCTAAGGTTCTTCTCTTATTCACTTGCATCTACATGTTTATCTGGGTTTTGTTTTTGTTGTTTACCATATATCATATATGTGTGTGTGTGTGTGTGTGTGTGTGTGTGTGTGTGTGTATTGTTTTTTGTATTTTCTGTTTGATCTTTTTAGTTGCCGGGTTTTTGCTGCTTTGTTTTGTTTTAATCTGTTTTTTCACAAAATTTGGATGTGAGTAGTTTGAATCTGGATGGAGGGATGCGTATGAACAGCCTTTGATCTGAGCACGAGATACTCCGTGTGTTTTGACGGCTAGATCTTTGCTTAAAAATACAAAAACCAAGATCTAATGATTAAAACACCGGGAGTATCCCGTACTTTGGAGCACCTGGAAATTTTGATCCGAAAGTCGGCTACCCTGAATTTTCGGATTTATATTAAATGATGATAAAAAGGATTAATAAGTGAATTATGTTGCTTAGATATGTGATAAATTTGCTGTAAACCTGTGCTATAAGCTATATCAGTTTGTGTAAACAAAAATTAAAAACCCAAAACTATGTCCTCTCAATACTCATCAATAACGTGTAACTGTAAGGAAAATGAAACTGGATGATAGTAGATCTGGAGGTGCCTGGTTCTCTACATGGTAGCGGTGTTCGAAGTTGCAGGGTATTACGTGTAACTTAAATTTGGTTTTTATTGTGACTACCTCGTGATTTTCGGGATGATGATGGATATTTTATTTTCCTTTTTCTTGTTTTCTATTTTTGCTCGGTTATTCGAGAGTCACTTCTTTTGTTGTTTGTAGTGACGAGGGCCATGTGTTGGGATTATCTTTTGGTTCTTTTTTGGTTTACGTTTTGAATGTGAAAACAAGGAGTTCTGTTACGTTCCTTTGTTTGCTTGCTTTGCATTATTTGTTTGGTTTGATGCCCATATAATTTATGGTATGTTTGTGTAAGTGAATCCGAATTGTTTGTTGTGTTACTTGTTTGTGATTAATTGTATTTATAAAATTATTTACTTAATTGAATTATCATTACTGCTAGTTCAAAGTACCTGATTTATGATTCACGACAATTGTGTGGTTAACCGAGTTATTGTAATTTATTGTAGTTGCAGAAGATTTGATTTCGTTGGGTTGAGTATCCTTTATCGGTGGACCTCGGCTTTCAGAGATTTTAAAGCTAATAACTGTGCGCAAGATTGGAAATCTTTTAAAGAGTGAGAGAAGGGCAGAGAAGTTGACGTAGTTTGCATTTGATTACCCGTTTATATAATCAGGGTTGTTTTTTGTGTCGGTGCTAATGGGGATCTTTGAAGAAATGGGTTTCTGTGGTAATCTTGACTTTCTTTCGGCTCCATCTGGGGAAGGCGAAGCAGCTCCAGAGCATGAACCCGAGGCAACTGGGGAGGAGGATTATAGTGATGAAGAAATGGATGTTGATGAGCTGGAGAGGAGGATGTGGAGAGACCGAATGCTATTGAAGAGGCTGAAGGAACAAACTAAGGGAAAGGAAAGAGTTGACAATGCGAGACAGCGTCAATCACAGGAACAAGCTCGGAGGAAGAAGATGTCACGGGCACAAGATGGGATCCTGAAATATATGCTGAAAATGATGGAAGTTTGCAAAGCTCAGGGTTTTGTTTATGGAATTATCCCAGAAAAAGGAAAACCAGTGAGTGGTGCCTCAGACAATCTGCGAGCATGGTGGAAGGAAAAAGTAAGATTTGATCGTAATGGCCCGGCTGCAATTTCTAAGTATCAGGCAGATCATTCAATCCCTGGGAAGAATGAAGACTGCAGTGTAGTGGCATCCACTCCTCACACTTTACAGGAGCTGCAAGATACCACTCTTGGTTCACTTCTGTCGGCTTTGATGCAGCACTGCGATCCACCCCAAAGACGTTTCCCATTGGAGAAAGGTGTTGCCCCACCTTGGTGGCCTACCGGTAATGAGGATTGGTGGCCTCAATTAAATCTGCCCAAGGATCAGGGTCCTCCCCCATACAAGAAGCCTCATGATCTGAAAAAGGCTTGGAAGGTTGGTGTCCTCACAGCTGTGATAAAGCATATGTCACCAGATATTGCCAAGATCCGCAAGCTTGTTCGTCAGTCCAAGTGTTTGCAAGACAAAATGACTGCTAAGGAGAGCGCCACTTGGCTAGCTATTATAAACCAGGAGGAAGCTTTGGCCCGAAGGTTATATCCTGATAGATGTCCACCTCCACTGGCTGGTGGTGGTGGGTCTCTCGCAATCAGTGGTACCAGTGATTATGATGTTGAAGGTGTTGATGATGACGAAAATGTTGAAACAGAGGATTGCAAACCTCTTGTAAATCACTTCAACATTGGAACTGCTGGTCAAAGAGAGAGGCTGGTACCTCAGATTAAGGGGGAGCTGATTGAGATCAACTCAGATTTTGGTCAAAAGAGGAAGCAGCTGTCCGAAGAGCCACAAATGATGTTAAATCAGAAGATTTACACCTGCGAATATCCGCAGTGCCCGTATCATGATTATCGCCTAGGCTTTCTCAACATAACTGCAAGAAACAATCACCAGATGAACTGTCAATACCGCAGTAATTCTTCACAAGTGTTCGGAATGTCAAGCTTTCAGCTTCACAATGAGAAATCTGTGGGCTTCTCTCTACCCATTGCTCAACCACCTGCACCCACATTTCAACAATCAGTGAACCAGGCAAGTAGGTTTAATGCTTCAGGAGTTGATGATGGGCAGAAAATGATATCTGAGCTTATGTCATTCTATGATAGTAATGTTCAACAGAACCAGAACTGCAATCCTGGAAACCTCCATATCGTAGAGAACCGCAACCAGCAGCAGTCGAAATATCAATTTCCAATGAATGATAACTTTTTTGGTCAAGGGGTGGATACAGGATGCAACATCAACATGTCTGAACCGGCCCCCATGCCTATGCTTCATCCAAGTTTCGCATCCCCAGAAGTTCAGTTTGATCAGTGCATTGCATTTGATTCTCCATTTGGTAACAATCCCATTGAAAACGTCAACATGAGATTCGACTCCCCCTTGCACTTGGCACCAGCTGATTATAATGTTATGGACACTCCGCCGAAGCAAGATGCTCCCCCTTGGTTCCAATGAAGTGGGGTTTTCTTATATTGACTGCTCCAATGTGTTGGAGTTACACAGTTGCGGACTGAATAGGTGAAGCTTCTTTTTAAGTTGCACTTTTTATCTGTCGGGACGTGTTAGGTGTTTAGATGACTGCTCCAATCTATGTGTTGGTAGGAGGGGTGTGTGTGTGTGTGTTGTGGTTTACGTTTAGTTGTTTGTATCTGTCGAACTTGTTAGATGTTTATAACCCTCGAAACTCGAACAGTAACTTCCTCATCTAAGTATAGGTTATCTGCTTGCGGTATTGAGTAGAGCCAATAAAGGACTGGAAAACCCAATCCGTTGTTCCGTACTATTGTTGAAATGCAGGAAACATTTTTCCGGTTGCTGAAGTCGATGTTGGCATGTGTAGTTATGTAATGTGTACACAGAAGACATCTATATATGTGGTGGTTTTTATGTACCTTTGGCTTGTTCCTTTGTGCAATCAACAACAATATTCAAAGTGCTAGATTTGCCTGCTATCAACTATTCTTCCTATACAGTGCATCACGTACACCGATACACTGTAGGAATCTTTATTGTCAAAAATTCTACAGTTCATTGTTTGGGATGATGCTGGATGGCTGGATTTGCATGCTTTAATCTAAAATTCCTCAATTCTCAAATCTTGTACTGTTGTACATCACATAGACGATGCACGAGAATGCAGCCATAATGTCTTGAGCTCCACGCATCTCGTCGTGATTTGCTTTAACTTGTTCACACAGTCACGCGTGATTGGTTTCGAATCATTATCCTCCTTTCAAAGGGGTTGTATTATTTTCTTTATTTGTCACATCAGTGTGTCCAAGTTTTTCTTTTGGGTCAAAGAGTTTGAAAGAAGAGTTGGTTTTGCGGTCAAAGTTAGGCAAGTTTTCTTGTATTTATTGAGTCATTAGATTCTCGATCAAATAAATAGTAACAACCTGAAAGGGAGAGAGATGAATTCTCTTCTCATTGACTCCAGGTCTCCCTATTCGTATTTGGGTCTAGTTCAAATCGTGTACGCATAGAAAACAAGAAAGAAAGAAAGAAAGCAAGCAGTTACTGCCGCTGCTGCTGCTACTGCTGTAAAACATCATCCATCACCCCCAAGCAGCCAGGGCATCCGCCCGCAACACCGTTCCGCTCCGTTGACGATAAATGTGATTCAGCAGCTGCAAAACACAGGAATTTCTCATCATCAAGACCCCTTTTGCTCTTAGACTTACTCCAACTTTTTGAGTAAAACACAAATTTAAAATTCTAAACCTACCTCAACGTGTTCCAACCTTTGGGCGTAATATGAGTTTTAACCCAAGACTCATTTTGGGGGCAAATTTAGCCCAGTATTCCCTTGAGTTAGTGGGTTGACCCATCATATATGTGTATTTTTTTTAGTTTTATATTTATAAATTCATTGATGGTTAAAATTTATTATGATTAAATCCAATGGTAAAAAAAATAAAAATAAAAATCTAACGGTCCAAATTTAAATTCAACGACTAAAATAATTAAATTTTTTTTTTCATGTGTTTCGTATTCTTTCATAGTGTTCCACTAGTTTCATGATGTCTTTTTAGTAATTTTTCAATATATCAGAATCTAAATATTTTTAGGTTAAAATGTTCATAAAAATAAATTACAATAGCCTACATAATTTTTTTAAAGTTACTTTAAGAAAACTTTAAGCAAAAAATTATCCTAATTTCGGGCTAAAAATTTAACCAGCAAGGTTGGAGCAGAAAAACTGTTTGGGTTTAAAACCTAAATTTTCAGGCTTAAACATTTTAGGTTTTACCAAGTGTTGGAGATGGTCTTAATCTTTTTTTTTTAAATTTTAAAAGAGGAATAATTGGTGGGAAACCATGGTTATCCACCTCTTCAGGGACCAGAAAGACTCACAAATTTCCCACCTCTTCTGGGACCAGAAACAGAAAGACTCACAAATTTCCCACCTCTTCCGGGACCAGAAAGACTCACAAAATTTCTATTAATCTTATTGACATTATCACAACATAAATGTAGGCAACCTGATGGTATGCATAGAATAAATTGGAATATATGAAGTGTCAAATTGGATCAAAAACCTTTCCATAAGATAACTGTGGCGCGGCAAGTGTGAAGGACTAATTGCGTTATTTCAACTTTATGGTATGCTAACTTAGAATGGGCTGAAACGAGTACTAAAATTATTTTGATTACTGATTTCTCTTGTATTTTAAATGGACAAGCGGAAAATAAAAATTTCGGGCTCCCACTTTACAATCTCTAATTTACTACTGAACTAAATCGAGTCAGAGAGAACTCTCATCCCAATTCATGACATTCACACAAGCCTTGGAGTCATTATGACTCCGTTAGAATTGTGGCTTGGCAGCATGAGCTTTTGCTTCCTTTTGTACGAGGTTCATTGTCTCCTTCCTTTCCTTCTAACTAGGAGGTGCAAGTTGGATTAGAGATTCCAATCTGAACAGAAAATTTCCATTCCAAGTCCAAACATTATTGATTCCCAAAATTTTCAAAAAAATTGGATGGCCATTGGAATGTACCTATCCGATTTGAAATTTCTCAAACTTGTTCCTATATAAATAAAAAAAAAAATCATGCATATTCTTATTTTATCATGTTTGTTATTATATTTAGTATGTTTTATCTCATATTTTGTATATTTAATCATACTATTATACATACTGTTTAATCTTATCTAATATGGTCTTATGTCATAAAAAAGAAAAGAATATTGAATAGTGCACACATACAATTTTTGTTTTGCAAAATATAAGAGATCCGAATCAAGTTCCGGAAATTCTGAGAGAAAACTAATTCCAAAATTTTCAATAAATTCTGATAATTCAAATTTCTGAAACTGGAACAAATATATGATACGGATGCTTGTTTCCAATCTGATCCGACCAAACTCACCCCTACTTCTAACCTTTAGTGAGATGATAAGATTTTTCTAATTAGGCAGCTTGTTTCCTTTATTGGAATTGGGCCTCCGACTCTTTTACTTGAGCCCAAAGTGCTACGTAACTCCTCCTCTGCAACTCAAGATAAGCATTATAAAATGCAAACTTGAAAATTGATGCAGAGGAGAATTCCCAAGAGACATATAAAACTTGCTACAAAATCAAATTGACTGACTCTTTTTTTCCTCAGCAACTAAATTGGACAATATATTCCCTCACTTCCCATATGAATCCTGTTAACGTGAGTCTTAATTAAGGATGTAAAGTCTATGTAAATATTTTAGGAGTTCTTTATTAGGAAGTATATTTTGTGTCCCTTTATGTTTCCTTGTGGAACAAGGATTGTGTATATATATTCTTAATCTTGTGAATAATAAGAAGTAAGTAGTTCAGCCATATAATTCTATTTGGTATCCGAGCTTGGTTTGCCGTAACCCTAACTGTAAAAAATTTCATTGTGCCGCTGCTGTGTCTGCAAGAACTATGCTCGTTGTTCTTGATATGTATGTGTTGCCGTGCTGTCGTGAGTGTGTTGTTGTGCTGCCATGTACTGCGATATAACAATGTTGAACGACAATAAGGGAGGCTCAGAACAGAAACCTAAGGGTAGAATTGCTGGTTCAACTAGTCAGTCTGTTATCAACTCTGTGGTAATTTTTGAATGATGCTTCTGTTGTGCCAAGTGCTATCAAACTCAATGGATTGAACTATCCCTTTTGGTCCAGAGTGTTGGAGATGCATATCGCTGGACGCGGTAAGAAGGGATTCGTGACGGGAAGTATCAAGGAACCGAAGAAGGCAGTACTGAGTATGAAACGTGGGAGACAGGAAATGCAATTGTGAAAGGGTGGTTGATCTCAAGTTCGTGTGGCAGGAGTTGGATTAAAGCAGACCAATTAAGATAAAGTGTGCTCATGATTTGAAGACACTTCGAGAAGAGATTCAACTGCACCAAGTTTATGTTTTTTTTAGCAGGTCTAGATGATATGTTTGATAAGGTTCATAGTTGACACGATTCGATCCCGATGTCCATGGGACATCAGAATGATCACGTGTTGGCCAACACCCGAGGGTGATGAAAGCCATTTATTGAAAATATGAGAACTAAAATATGAATAAGATAAAAGAAATTTAAATATAATTAATATGCAAATGAGGAACGTGTTCAGAGCAAATAACTAACTAGAACACTAAAAGCAATAATATAAAATTGAATGAATAAAAGAATGGGTCCTCTACCGAGAGGACTAGAAGATGCCGATACGGATGTGCCTTGACGCCAGGATTGTACGCCTCGAATCTAAATCCTGAGGGGGCGCAAAACAAACATGAGTGGACCAAGTTGATATACATATATAATAAAACAATTATCAACATACTAATCCACAAAGCTTTATGAAAATTAATAGCATAATAAGTGGTAGGTTTTTCTGAAAACCCTAGCATGCCATAAAACATCTCATATATAGTGTGATAAATAATGGTATCAAATAATAATATCTCCCGGTCCATTGCTAGCTCTGTCTCTCGACCCGAAGCCAGAGATTATTTCTCTAGGCCCCTTGCCAACTCCATGTCCATCAACCTGAAGCCAGGGATTATTTCTCCAAGCCCACATGCCAGCACCATAAACCTCGTCCGTGGTGGAATAGTGACCACTAGATAAGCACAAAACCATTGAACATAGTCTTTCCAAACATAGGTACATATATCTCAAAAACAACTTCATAGTATAAAGTCATCCATCATCTATACTATAAAGCAGTGTTTAAAAACATGTTCTAAATAGTATATCGTCATCCATTAGATACTTTACAAGGCTACAAAGAACATGGGTTCGATAGAAAATATGGTATTCCAAAATATTCTAAGCATAATATCTCATAAAACATTTCATAAAACGTAATTAGTAAATCATGCTTTTCATTTATGCCATTTCTACTATTAAAACATGCATTTTAGAAGGGGTCTACTCATAGATACATTGTTGCCGAAGAGTCACGCAAACTAGCGTAGACGGATTCGCCACAATTATTGCACCTAAGCACATAAAAAAGGTGAAACTATATCAAACGATTGAATTTGGGAAAACATATGTCATAAACGGGTCCAAGACGTTGAAATTAGCTTAGCAGGGGTCCCGGACAAAAACCCACAAAACGGCCGAAAAGTCAATGTTGACCATTAACCCGTCAAAGTCAACGCTGACCGTTAACTGGGTCAAAGTCAAAGTCAATGGTCAGACTGGGTCAAAGTCAACAGGTCAACTAGGTTGGGTCAACCGTTTTGGGCTTAGGGTTGGATAGGGTTAGGCCTAAAGTAGTGGGCTTGGGTTCCAAGGCACAAAGGCCTTATCTGATGGGTTTTGGTTCAAGGGGCTTGGGCTTAAAAGCCTGGCCCAAAGCAAAGGGTTTAGGGTTTTAGGCTTAAGAGCTTACGAGCCAAAGCCTTTGGTCTTGGGCTGAAGGCCTAGCCCAACAAAAGGATTTTGGGTTTCAATAAAAATAAAAGGAAAATAAATAGGTAAAAGGATTTTGGGTTTGGGCTTAACAGCTAATAGGCCTAAGGCCCGGCTGTTAGGTCATTCTACCCATTAGTCATTAGGGAAGGAGGCCGGAGCTTCTTGAACTCCGGTCATCATCGTTTAGTCATTATAACTTACAATCTACCTACGAAATTGAAGGTAGAGATGAGAGGGAGAAGTTGGTACCTGAGGTTTGCCATGAAACGCCTAGAGATAACCAGATTTGGACTCGCACACCCACAGTTTGCCGAACATGGGTTTGGTGTTCTATGGGGACTCTAGAGCTTTATGAAGACAATTGAGAGGAAGAGGAGGTCTATGAGGGTGATGGTGGTGTTGTGTCGTCACCGGGGTGCTTCTAAGGGTATGCGTGGGTGCAAGTTAGATCGGCGAGAGAGGGAGAAAGAGATAGAGTGAGAGAGAAGAGTGAGCTGAGTGAGTCTCAGACTCTCAGGGCAATAGAGAGAGATAGGGGATGAGTTGGGGTGATGCCACATGGCAAACGGTGTGATAAGAGAATCTAAAAGGAAGGTCTGGATATCTTAAGGATAAGGGGACCAAATTGAAAACTTAAAATACTTTTAGGGGAAACGTAAAATTACAAACTAAATTTAGGAGGGGTTTTACAGTAGTGATGTTCTACGAACTCAACCTTTACCATCTATCGAAAAAGTGTTCTCTGTGGTTAGCCGTGATGCACAACGCCATGCCACCATGATGGGTGGGAGTAACACAATTAGCCAATTAGGGGTACCTACAGTGGCTATGGTTTCTCAACCATCTACGCGTTTTTTGTTCCAATGGGTCTTCAAATTCATCTATGAATTCTCGTCCCTTTACTAGAGAAAACAAAGATGATTTGAAGTGTACTTTCTGTGGTCAAACCCGCCACATTGAGGATACAACTTTTGCTAAGCATGGAGTACCCGAATGGTTTTTGGAGTTGAAGAAATGTTTGCAAGCAAAGGAGCGTGCAAATAATGGAACAAGTGGAAGATGTGCATCCTTAGCCGCTGCCACACCGAGCAGTACTAAGGAAGCTGAGCTACCCTTTAGTGATTCGAGTCAATCTATGTTGACTAGTACTGGTGAATCATTGTCTAATACAAGTATTATGGGACGTGTTCTTTTAGCCTCTGATACTGATCATCATATAGGTTGGATTCTCGACTCTGGTGCAACGAATCAAATGACTTACGATAAAACTTTGTTTCAATATATAACAATATCTCGTAGAAAGTGCATTGCTATTGCCAATGACATTACTGCTTTGGTTGTTGGAGTAGGAACATTGTGTCTTACACCCTCTCTTTCGTTACATCACTGTTTACTCATTCCATCCTTATCTCATCATCTATTATCTATGCCACAAGTTACTGAGTAGTTGGATTGTGTTATATAATTTATTCATCATTTTGTCTACTTCAGGACATTCAGATCAAGAAGATAATTGGGCGTGGTACTAAGAGAGAGGGGTTGTATTATGTGGATGACGTCATTCCTCGAAGAGCTAATGAAGTTCGAGCATCTTATGCTAGTAATTTACAAGAAGTTTGGTTATTGTATCGCCGATTGGGCCATGTGTCTTTTGGTTATTTAAAGCATATGTTGCCTAGTTTATTTCGTGAAATAATTGAATCAGACTTACAATGTGAAGTATGTATTCTTGCTAAAAGCCATCGTGCTTCATTTCCTCCAAGAATGAATAAAAGATTATTTCCGTTTAATCTCATGCATTATGATGTCTGGGGACCATCCCCTGTTCGTATTTCTTCTAGAATTAAATAGTTTGTTACATTCATTGATGATTGCACTCGTATGACCTGGTTGTATGTGATGAAAAAAAAGTGATGTCAGTATGGTGGTTTGGTCTTTTTCTCAGATGATTCAGACTCAATATTCCTCTGTTATTAAAGTTCTTCACTCTGATAATGGAGGTGAATATATTAATTTTGAGGTGTCCGAATTTCTTCGTAATCAATGAACTATTCATGAAATGACATGTCCTCACACTCCAAAAATGGGGTGGCTGAGAGCAAAAATCGCCATATTCTTGAAACTACTCATGCCTTGCTCATTTGTGCTTTTATTCTTAAGCGTTTTTGGCCTGAAGCAGTCACTTATGCAATTTATGTAATCAACCGTATGCCATCGCGAGTTGTCGGTTTTCAAACCTCTTCAGAAACTCACCCAACATGCTTAGGTGGTGTGTAATGTATGTTCATATTCAAAAGATTCATCGAAGTAAACTTGATCTGTGTGCACTTTGGTGTGTATTTGTTGGCTTTTCCACTCATCAGAAAGGAAGTGTTATCATCCTGACACTCACCATATGTATGTGACTATGGATGTTACATTTTCATTATCTGAATAATTTTATGCTCCACTCCACTCGACCTTAGATCACCATGGGGAGAATGGTACTATGGATGATCTTTGTAGGTTGGATATAGGGGAGCCGTGGATCCAACGGGAGTCAATGGAGTTGCTGCCGAGAGCAGCATGAAGGATTTCCAGCAGGTTTCTGCCTAGAATAGAACAAAAGAGTCTCGGCAAGCAGCTGCCAAGAGCAGTGATGCCCAGCAACAGCAAAAAATTACCGACAATGGTAGTTTGGTTCAACAGTTCCTACTGAGCCATGCCCTGAATAGTTTCCGATAGCGAGCCTAGTAATGTATTACCCTTTCTTTAGCTCCACAATGTCGTCCAATACATCTTCTCTGAATATACTTGAGGTAAGTATTGTAGATGATTATGAAACTAATCTAAATAATATTGTAAGTACAAATAAGTTGCCACCAAGACAAAATTGAGGTGTGCCGCCTAACAGGTTTTCTTCGGAAGGGAAAGTGAAGTACCCAATAGCTAACTACGTATCATGCATGAATCATGCACTTGAACGTCAACCCTTGGTGAATAATATGGAGTCCATTGAAATCCCTACCAGAGTGGAGGAAGCTTTGAAAGATCCAAAGTGGGTGAAAGCGATGGATGAGGATATGTTAGCATTATAGAAAAAATAAGACCGTGGAAGTAATGAAGTTGCCCAATATGAAGAAAACTGTTGGATGTTGCTGGGTGTTCGCAATTAAATACAAAGCTGACGGAGCGATTGATAGATACAAAGCAAGATTGGTGGCAAAAGGATATACTCAGACGTATGGTGTGGATTATTAAGAAATGTTTTCTCCCGTAGTCAAAATGAATACGATACATGTTCTTATTTCTTTAGCTACAAATATGGACTGGCCACTAAAACAGTTCGATGTGAAAAATGGTTTCCTTCATGGAAATCTGAAGGAATACATGGATTTTCCTCCTGGGTATGATGCTGGTGGAAAAACAGGAGTATGTAGATTGCGGAAATCGCTGTATGGGCTCAAACAGTCACCTCATGCATGATTTGATAGGTTCACTCTAGTTATGAAGAAGAATGGATATCATCAAAGTCATTTCGATCACACATTATTTGTGAAGCGGAGACTGAATAGAGTAATTGCTCTGGTTATCTATGTAGATGACATGATTATCACTGGAGATGATTCTGACGAAATTGTGAATTTGCAAGAACATCTTGCGATAGAATTTGAGATGAAGAACTTGGGTGATTTGAAGTATTTCCTTGGGGTTGAAGTTGCTCGTTCAACCAAAGGTATTTTCTTGTCTCAGCGTAAATATGTTTTGGATTTGTTAAATTAAAGGAAACAGGTATGCTAGGGTGTAAGCTTGTGGATACTCCTATTGTGGAAAAACATCATTTGGTTGTGTATTTGGATTAGAAACCGGTTGATAAAGGGCAATATCAGAGACTTGTAGGGAGACTGATTTATTTGGCTCATAGTCTTCCTAATATTGCTTATGCGGTAAGTGTTGTGAGTCAATTTATGCACTCACCAAGTGTAGATCACATGGTGGCTGTCATGCGTATTTTAGCATATTTGAAGTCTGCACCTGGTAAAGGGATTTTGTATGGAAGACATGGACATCTAAGAATTGAAGGATTTACCGAAGCGGCTTGGGCAGGTGATGTAACTGACAGGCGTTCTACGTCCGGCTATTTCACTTTTGTTGGAGGGAATTTAGTCACATGGCGTAGTAAGAAACATAAAGTGGTATCGCAGTCATCTGTTGCGGGGTTGAGTACCCAGGTATGGCACAAGGGATATGTGAGATTTTGTGGTTACGCAAGCTTCTTTAGGAACTTGGGTTCAAACCGAAGGAGACTATGAAACTATATTGTGATAACACGTCTGCAAATGATATAGTAGACAATCCAGTGCAACATAATAGGACAAAGCATGTGGAGGTTGATAGGCATTTTATTAAAGAGAAACTTGAAAAGAAGATTGTGTCGATACCATTTGTAAATTCTGAAGAGCAATTGGCAAATGTTCTTACTCATGACGTGTGTAGTAGGAAGTTTGATGACTCACTGATCAAGTTGAGCATATGTGATATCTACACACCAACTTGAGGGGGAATGTTAACGTGAATTTTAATTAAGGATGTAAAGTTTATGTAAATATTTTAGTAGTCCTTTAATAGGAAGGATATATTTTGTGTCCTTTTATGTTTCCTTGTGGAACAAGGATTGTGTATATACATTCTTAATCTTGTGAATAATAAGAAGTAATTCAGCCATATAATTCTATTAATCCCTCTTGGTTGGGTCTTTGCTTTGCCAGTCCCATCTCATCAAAGGTTGGTTTGTCTTGGTCATCATCGTAATCGTTGTCCTAATCATTGGACAAGAAACAAGAAGAAATGCAGATAAGCATGAAAAATATCAGAGATTTTAGGCAGAGGAGGATTCTGTGGTCAGGAAAGTCATCAGCAGAAAGTCAGGCAGTAGCAGTGACAAGAACAATGTGGCAACCAAAACACTCAAAAGGCTGTTTGCACCCACAAACCTTCCTTCTCTGCCGCTCCACACCCGGGGCAATGACCAGAAAAGCTTTGCTGCTGCCGCTTTCCAAACACGGAAGCAGGTGTCCATGTCAAATGTGCTGCTCACTAATGAAATCATGATGATGAGGAAGATTGTTGAGAATGTGTCGCCACACCCGAATGTGATTGACTTGCCCGATGTGTACGAGGATGAGAATGGGGTCCACTTTGTGCTGGAGCTCTGTTCAGGAGGAACTGTTTGATAGGAATAGGATTGTGAAGCAAGAAAGGTATTGTGAGGCTGGAGCTGCAGCTGTGGTGAGGCAGATTGCACTAGGCTTGGCAGCTCTTCACAGCTTGAATACTGTTCACCGGGAGTTGAAGCCGGAATGTGCCTCTTCTTGAACACCACCAACAATTCTCCGCTGAAGATTATGGATTTTGGGCTGAGTTCTGTGGATGAGTTCACTGACCCTGTTGTGGGACTGTTTGGTTCCATAGACTGTCACCAGAGGCTCTTTCTCAGGGACTGGTCACTTCTAAGAATGACATGTGGGCTCCGTGTGTTCATATTTTTTTCTTCATTTTCTGGGCAAACCAAACAGAACACTGTAACATTAGTAGTGTATAAGCATATTAGAACACAGAAATGATATGATTTGCTTTTTAGGTACCCACCTTTTATTTCCCAGTCGAATCAGCAAAAGCAACAGATGATTATGCCTGTAAGTAATTAGCATTGACATTCTACTAGAACACAGAAATTAAAATGATTTTCTTTTGTCCAAGGTTCTGTTCAAATAACGAGAAAATGCTTGTCCTGCAGGGAGAGTTCAGTTTCTATGAGAAAACCTGGAAGGGCATTTCTTTGTCAGCAAAGCAGTTGATTTCAGACCTCCTCAAAGTCGACCATGACAAGAGACCTAGTGCTCAAGAGGTAGGCTTGTAATTGTAGCAAGAGAAGAGATCAAGCATCAATAATATCGACAAAACGTTGATATCAGTCTGAGCTAACTAAATGAACTCTTATAGAGTAGTTCTTGGTAGCACCAAAATGCAGTCTTCTAGATTTGTTAGCCTAACTAACTTAGAACCATCCATGGGCTGTCGGTCCTTCAACCAGAGAGGATCAAATGGATACTGAGATGGTATCACGACTACAGAGGTTTAATGCACGGCACAAACTCTGTGCTGCAGCAATAGAAAACATGTGGACAAGCTCGATGTTCTTAAGAACAAAGAAGCTAAAATCATTGCTAGGATCCCATGACCTTAAACCAGACGAAAACAAGAATCTGAGTTTACATTTTAAGAAAATGAGACTAGTCAAGTATTGCACAACTAATTATCTGTGAATGTGGTGTAAAAATGTAGGTCAGACAGAGAGAATCATCAGTACTTAGCATCCAGTTTCTGGTAAAAACTTGCATATATAGCAGTTATATGTATCACATGGCTACGTATTTCAGTTTAATGACAAACTTATTCTGTTTAAGCAATCATAAAATTACACTGGCAAGAGCCCTTTGCTAAGTTATCTGGTAATCCAATGTTTTATAAATTCCAATTTGGCAATGTGCAAATGCGTAAAAGGTGACAATGCTACTTTTTCAGAATTTGAGGAGGTGCTGAAAGCAATGAAAATGTCGTCTCTAATACCTCAAAACACCCAGAATCTTTGACCTATTCGACAAAAATCACGATGGCACCATTGACATGTGAGAGATACTGTCTGGATTCTCTAGTCTCAAGAACTGACAAGGAGACGATGCTCTCCGCCTGTGCTTCCAGGTGCAGTCTCCTGTATTTTCAGTTAGTTCAAGTAAATAACAAAAACTCACTCCAAGAGTCTAACAAAACTAATTTGGACTATAAAGTTTCCTGAGAAAATCAAACCTTGCTCACTAAATTAAAGAAACTACTACTAATTGAACGTCATATAGCTTTTACCATCCATAATGTCTTCTCTACTGCTCTGCCTAATTCACTGTCATTATCCCTATTCTATTTGTCCCACTATTTTGTTTCACATCCATATGAATGATACGGATCGGTCTGGATGCATCAGCAAAGAAGAACTAGCATCTATGCTCAGGGTAATGTATCTTCCCCTATCACCTTAAATCTCACATGGTTTATCCTAATTGTTTGGTTGTTTTCAAATGAGATTATGACTAAATAAAACTACATTGAATAGGCTTTTGCCAGATGACTGCCTTCCAGCTGATATCACCGAACCTTGTAAATTGAATGAAATATTTGATCCAATGGATGCAAACAGTGATGGAAAAGTTACCTTTGATGAGTTCAAAGCTGCCATGTGTAGAGAGACAGGCCCCTCCAAGATGTAGTCCTCTCCCATCCTCGACCATTATAGTTTTCCGTTTATCCAGTCAATGGCCATCAATTTTTCCAGTAAACTGCGGAAGTTAATTTCTCTGTGTCCTTGGAAGACCAATGACCATAAACATGAAAATTGAAACTAACTGTATGCTAACTTCTGCCATGGCAAGTAGGAGTGCCTCGCTGCTTTAATTCACAGAGCAAGGAAAATCCAAGGTAGTCTACTTAGCCTGGCTAAACTGCGGAAAATTTCAGTAGCAGCAATAATGTTTTATCTTTGAATCGACATTTTTGCCTGAGAAGTTACTTTTTACTTTAAAACCAAAAACGGTAACTTTCAGCCCCAGAAGACTTCCTGTTTAGGGCTGACTTTTTGTTTAGCATTCAGGTGTTTTATGTTATCAAAACATGTACCAGAATTGAGTGAAACTGGAAGAACAAATCTAACCAGTAAAAATCTAAGCTGTGTTTTCCTTCCAAAGAAGAAAAAGTGCATATGCACACCAAACAAGGAAGATTGAAATTTCCTTTTAAAATTTAATCTCTTACCACCGAAGAGTTGTTTGGCAGGACGGAAAAGGGAAGCTTTTTAAAATGAAGATTTTGCTCTCTTCCTGCCTAGAGGCTGGAGACCTTCATTACATTCGTAAGCCAGGTTGATCCATCAAGTCTTGTACCAAGTGAGAACTCCCCTTTCCCTCCTTTTTTCACCCCAGAATTATATTCTGTTGCAGTCACCATGAGATAAAGGTCACCAAATACAGATTCGTAATGAGTACACAAGATTTAATGTTCTGACTGAGTATATATCCTGTAATTTTACGAATGTAATGAAGACATTATGTCCTTAAACGGATCCTAAATATTCAAGAATTTTGTTCCGATACAAGTTTTAGAGTTAAAAGAGTATTAACAGTTCCTGTTAAATATGCAGTTAAATACACAAGAATGTAATGAAGACAATATGCAGTTAATTGTGATCCTAAATATTCAATTATTTCGTTCCAATATAAGCGTTAAGAGTTAAAGAATATTAACAGTAAAGAGATTTAACTTCATTCAAGCTCGTGACCTAGCTAAGCTGTACTCAAAACTATACGAACTTTTTGAGTATGGTTAATCCAACAGACTATACTGATAGTCAACTCACAACCAACCCCCATAAACCTGTTTTTAAATTTTAAGTGTTCTTAAGTGTTTGGGATACACCTTTCAATGCAGTGTTCTCCATTCCAAAACACACTATTACTGCTTTATCATTCAAATGATTGAATCAAACTCAACGATTGAGCTAATTCATATTAACGTCGCTTATATCCAGCAATTCATACTAGAGTACAAGAAAATAAACTAAAACCACCAGCTACCAGACTAATCCGCATTGTCATTACAACCATCGAGATATTCTATACAATTAATCATCATTTATGTCCATACCTCTCCCATCATCACTACCTCTATCATTTGTACTGTCATTACAATCGTCGGTACTCTGTACTCTATGATTCATAACTTTCCACTCACCAGGGACCGTTACATCCATCCACCTTAACTCATCGCTGCCAGTATCTCCCAGGTCTTCCACCCAATCTTCAATGTTGGAATCCATAGCTTCTAAACATATAGGATCCAGGGTACCTCTTGTATAAACGCCTTTACTTGCTTCAGAACACCTGCTTCCGTTAAGCCAAAATAAGGAAGAAAAAGGAAAAAGATAAATGAGTTGTGTCTGAAGAAACAATTGGAATAGTACAATGCTCACAAACTTTACCAACAAGCATTGCCCTATTCAATTTTCTTCCTTAATAATCCAAAGAGACAAGTTAGTTTTAAATTTGTGATACTAGAATAAAAGAAATATTTCACAAATATCCCATTCCTGAATTGTGTTTCAGCCTAATTGAGTTAATTTGTGAGAAAATTGGAGCACTGGTCCCTGAACTTTGATCCAATTAAAGCATTGGTCCCTGAACTTTAATTCAATTGGAGCATTAGTACCCGAACTAAAAATCCGTCAGTAGTAGTCCATGAACTTGTCATGTGGAGCAATGGTACTTTTGGGCAACTCTGTTAGACCTCTTATTTTCCCTTAAAACCCTTTAAATTGGACGGAAGTTCTAACATGTTACCCAAAAGGACCATCATTTCACATTATGATGACTTCGGATCAATTTTTAATTCAAGGACCAAAGCTCCAATTTTGCCAAAGTTGAGGGCATCACAAGGACCTTTAATCGAGAGGGAAGAAAAGTGGACAACGGAAAAAGATTAACTCTGGTGGTTGTTTTAAAATAAAATTGACATGAGTCCATTTTTATGTGGAGAATTAATCAGTAAATACAAGATTAAAAAGTAAATACCTAAGTCCCACAAAGACTCACTGTCTCGTGCAACCTTGGAGTATAAAATACATAGACAAATCAAAGCAAATGAAATGGTAGTACAGATTATATTTATTTCCTTGCTATGAGCAATCTTATGGATACACTATGAGAAAAGATACCGAGGGTGGAGAAACTTACATATGTTGAAGGTGCAAGTTATGATGAACAAATACAAGGTCGTTCAACCTCTGTTGCTCCAATCGGTTCCCTTTCTTTGAATACATACGTTCAAATATGCTCCCACTCCTCTTAGACCGGATAATGCTGCAAGTTTGACTTAGTATCCTGACAGCTAACCGTTGGAGATCAGGGTAATCAGCTCCATACAGGGACCACCAAGTAGCTGCAAAACAAGACAACATAGTTTAATACTGCAATGCATAAAACAAGCTAGAAATCTGGAACAAGTGAAGATTATTTCAACCTGGGGCCAATGATTCTCGACATCGTAAAGCCACGGGTCGACCAAAATCCCCTACAGCTTCCTCATAGAAATTTATGTTGCTTGTAATCACAACTTGAGCTGTTAAGTTAGGCTCTATGGTTTCGATACAGTCAAGCAATCCCTTCTGGATGACTTTGTTAGTAGAAAAGCTAGGGCTATAAAACATAGACGGGTTGAGATAGCATGCAGCCGCATGAAGTGGGCTATGGAGCTCCTCTTGCCAAACGTGATCAATAACCTTCAAATATGGCAAGTAATCAGGTTCATTATTGTCAAATGCCACAATTACACTTTTCTTTGCCTTTTCAATTGCATCGTATAAGTAACCAATAGATGGTTTCTCCTCACAATCCATAAGATGAAAAACCGAGAGTAGGTGCTTTGTCACCTTCAGAGTTTGATCACACAGTGACCAGAAAAGTTGGTCTGCAACAATCTCTGCTACCTCTAGTCCAGCCCTTTGCTTAGAGCAATTTGACTGCATCCAAGCAGCAGTGGTAAATATTTGTTGGAGCTGGTGCTTCAGAGCTACAATATTCTGCAGCGTAAGGAAGACGGAAGCAAACCTTGTGGTTGCAAGCTGGACAATCTCTCTTCCACCTGTTTTCTTCCTTACCAGATTAAGCATCCAAGCACTGTTGTATACAAATCGAGTTACTTTTTTTGCCTTTGCCAAGACCTCTTTAACTTCATTCATTTTCCCAATTTCCTCAAGCATTAAGTCAACACCATGTGCTCCGCAGGTACTGCAGAAAAAGGTCTTATATTTCTCCATTAAAAGCTTTCTAGCAGCTTTACAACTGGGAGAAGCATCTGTCACAAAATTGACAATCTTCTGAGGCCCAATTTCTTGAACAACACCGTCAAATAAATTAAGAAGTGCTTCTGGACATTCTGAGATGTCTGACGCATCTGCAGATTTGAGGAACACAGTGCCCTTGGGGCAGTATACAAAGAAGTTGATAACTGTATGACCACCTTTATCCACCCACTTATCAACCATGACTGAACACCCAGTCACATCCCAAGATCTTCTCAGTTCCTCTCCATATTCTTCTGCATCATGAACACTGTGGTTCAACAATTTTCCCCTCAAAGCATTATAAGAAGGCATCTTATAGCCAGGACCGACAGCAGCAATGGCATCAGCCATCTGTTGATAAAAATGCGAATTTGCAGCAGTGAATGGTATACCAGATTCATACATAAATCTTGCAACAGCCAAATCAGCTTGATCTATCATATCTTGAGAAGCAAAACTCTGATTCAAGGGCTGAGCGATATTAGCTGTTGCAGCAGGAAAAGAATGCTTTTTGTGTTTCTTATTGGAAATTCCTCCTGTAGCCTCTTTTCCCTTTCTCCTTCGCGTGCCTCGTGTGGAAACTTTCTTTTGAGTTCTCATTCCATCTTCATTGTCTTCTTCCCTATACTGGTAGGATGCGGAATCCCTGCTAGTGTTTAATCCTTTCTGCTTTTTAAGCTTCTCAAGTACTTTAAAACCTAGGTGGTGTTGAATCTGCATTTTAACTTCTTCAGGTACTTCCTCGCATGGAGCTACATTCCCCCTTTCCCCTGCCAGATGCTGTTTTAGTCTGGAAATTCCACCCCCAAGCATTACTTTGTGGCAGTATTTGCACTTAATCTTCTGACGACCTCCATTCACCATAATGCCATGGGCCCAGCCAGGATCAGAAGCACGAGGTGGAACTGAACCCTGATGATTAATGCATCGTAGACAAATGTCAAAAGAAAGAACACAAAGGCACTTGTATACGATAAAAGAAAAATAGATTGTTGTCTTGGCCATAGTTTGAGATGATAAGTTAAACTTCAAGGTATTTAAGCTCGGCTAATACAGTATCCAAGCTCAAAGATTACGTTGAAAGGCAAGTTATCCAACCTCAAATATTATATTGAAATATGATAACCAGAAAAGATAAAAACACATGAAAAATAAAGCTCACTTGATTATCCTTGTGCTGCATATCTTGGGAAATGTCAAAAAGCTTCTGAGAATAATCCACAATAAGCTGTTAATACGCTGAATTGAAGTCACAATACACAAAACCATGATTAGAGAAATTAAAATAAATTAAATAACACCAAAACTACGTTTAAAAACTTCATCTAACTCTAAAATTCTATCTGAAAAATGGAACTTATTAATGACAAATTAAAAAAGAATTATCAGAAACCACACTACTGTTTCAGAAACATGCTTTAACCAACGCAATATGGCTTGGCATAACCATGTTCATGTCAATCTACACGATGAAGATTGATGTTTCACCTCTGTTGTGTTTTACTACCAGTGTCAACTTATGACTCTAGCATTTAGTGATAACCCTCAAAGACATTAACTTATTTAGATATAATTACCTACAAAAACAAAAAGCTAATGAACTGCCTCATTCATAAATGATATGCAAATTAAAATAAACAAGAAAAAGATTTAGTCATTAATCATTATTAATCCGAAATATGACCTCAAAATTAAACTCCCAAGTCTCTTTTGTCTCTTTCATGAATATAAAGGAAAATAGTTTCACACTTATCGAAATCAAACCAATTTGCAAATGTGAAGTTATCAGCAATATTCACATAATATTGGTAAAATTATCAATATCTCCCAGCCAAAGTTACAACATGTGACTTCAAATTATTTGAACCGGTCACATGTTGGAAGGAAACCAAGATTAAGTCTATTCCATCGCACTAGTTTCCCCAAAGTTATATTATTGCCTATTTTCAAATAACATATGATTTTTAATTATATAGACTTCCCAATCAACAAATGAAATCATACTGGTAATGCAATCTTGACTTAATATACGTACCAACTACGTGTAAAGTGGGAGAAGATGTAAAATTATTTCTTTGTTTGCAAAGGTAGAGAAAATAGAAAAAGAAAATGTTCCAACACAGACAAACCAAGCACCACGACCCCAAGCCCCAGAACTTACCGCTGCATAGCACACCTCTGTTTTGAGCAAGAAAACGGCATGAGTTTATAGCCACTGGAACAATTGATAACAAATGAAAACGCAGTTAGGGTAGCATCCAGAAATTATCAAATAAAAAGAAGGCAATGCAAAAAGAAATTCCCCGAATTCATCATGGGCATCCATGAGAACAAATTACACAAGCAACTTTTACAGCTGAATCCAAAATTTCAAGTTTTCGACATATAACACTATAACTAAATTCATATGTCTTTTTCTCAGGGTTGCAGGCAATACAAGTTGCAAAATTCCATAATTTTTTCCTTCCATTGCTTTTAAACCATAACAAAAATGTAGTTAAATAAATAGCTTCACAAGAAAATTCAGGTGACAGACAACACTAATCTCTGGATTCCGAAAGTAGACAATAGAATGTAATGCGCTGTTTAACGCCGAAAGGTCCTTTAATTTTCCTACATTTTCTCAGCAACCAAACAAGTACTATGAATTAACAGCAACATTTGGTTTTCACTTTTCTATAACTCAGAGAATTCCCAACTCCCTATTGGCATTCGAATCAATTCATCTCATATTCACTTGAAAATTAACACAAAGCACTTACTTGAAGCTTTCCAACAAGCCGAGATTTTCCGACTCCGAAATATCGGACTGGTCTTCCGAGAAAGTAGATCCAAGACCCGAAAACGACAATTGCAGGGAAGAAGATGAGCGAAACGTATAGAAGTGGGTCGGACTCGGAAAGTACAATTCGGGATCGGAAGTTGAAACTCGGGTGGTTTTGTTGAGAAAGGAGCGAAAAGAAAAGCGGGACGGCAATCGTGTTTCGGGTTGCGACAATGGAAATTCGTGTGTGGGCTTCGATAATTCGCACCAGAATGGCACAATCCAATCGTTGCGCCGTTTCGCTTTGCATCCCACGTGCTACCTTTCACACGTGACTTTTTTGTTCAACCAAATACAAATATAGACTTTCACTCATAATAATTTAGTATTGTTTAAGCGAAGTGTTATTGGTATTCTAAAAATCTCATTCTGCACTCCTCATTATATATATTTTTCTTTCCTAATATAGAAAGTTTGGAGTGCAGAATGAAATTTTTGAAGTGCTAATAATAATTCCTTTGTTTAAAATATTAAATTTATTTTTCTCAAAAAAAAATATTTAATTTATTAAAATAATATAAACTGCTAATACAGTTTCTAAATTATTACCTGAGTGAAAATTAGGATTGTAAAAGAGTTCCTTCAAATACATGGGTAGTCAATTAAAGGATTGTAAAAGGCTTTAGAATCCTAGTGTAGTAAACTAAAATTTTAAAGAGTTTTTATAGGGTCCATGCAAATCTATAGTTATTCAAACATTCATAGATTTTGAAGGATTTCATTTAATAAGAGATTTTTGTATGATTTGATAAGGGATGGTAAGCATAACAAAATCCTAACACCACCCCTAAGATTTCTTTTCAATCCTCTCGCTTTCTTTCTCTCTTTCTCTCCATTCTGCAACTCGAGCTTTCTTTCGCACTCTCCATTTTCTCTTGGAAACCCATCCTTCCATACTTCCTTCCTTCTGGCGTCTTGGCCACCCACCCAACAAGGTCCTGAATCTAATCTCTCACCTGGGTTTGCTTTCTATTTTGTTTTTTAATCAAATTATTATTTTGGTTTATAGAATTCGATTCAATCATACAATTTCCTAAATGCTCAATTGTCCTCTTGTCTTCTTTCTACTATTATTATATGATATATCATGGTCTTAATTCCAAGTATATCGAGTTCATTATGTTGACTTGAATATACACGGGAAGCCTTCAACCCAACCATTTTATCTACCCTTGGAATCCTTCTGAATCCTGCTTTCATGAATGATTATGGTGGAAGGTAGACTTTGGGAAGCTTAATTTGTATTTGAACTTTCCTACTAGTGGAGGATCATGGAGGATTGGGGTTACTTGGGAGAACTGGGCACAACTCTTCATTATTTTTTCAAAGTTTATCTTATTTTTTATTTAAAATTAATTTTAAAATGACAAGAGAGTTTCTCAAAATCCATTCAAATCATTAATCAAAGTCCGTAAGAATCCTTTCAAATCTTTAATCAAAATCCATTTCAAAGTTGTAAAGATTCTACAATTCTTTGAAATCTGTCACTTAAAAAAATCTTTTAAAATCCCTTGAAATCCAAATTGACTACAATTTCAAAGCTATTCTATTTAACTTTTCGTCAATTTAAGTCACATGTCTTGCACGTAATACACTTTGAAAAGTAAATTGGTAGTTTTACATAGTTTAAGGACCTATTTTTTCCTAAGAAATATAATATGGACTTAATTTTGGAGGATAAATTAGACACTAAATTTGAAACATATATGCAATATTAAGGTCTCATAGGCAAGAAAATGATGACATTACTCTCTAAATGTGTAATGTGAATTAAGTTGACAATAAATTGGATAAAATAGTTTTCAATATAATATTAAGAATGCAATTAATAATTTTGATGAATTTAAAGATTTATTTTTATCAAGTTGATAATTCAGAGACTAAATCAGTTTACTTTAAAAATATATACGGTTCAATCATATGTGATCCCAAGTTCAAAGTCATACGACACTTTGGCGTATGCGGTCGGATATTTCAAGCCAATACGAAACTTTGGCAATGCCTACAAGAAAATCTCAAGGTTTTAAAACCTCTTCTTAGAGCATTTTGATTAATTTTGAAAATGGTGGAGGATTGTTAGAAATTTTTCGAAATAAAAGTTTTTAGAATGATTTTACCGGTAGGAGAAATTGGGCTACCGGTCGCATCCCTTCGGAGGATGAGTCGTGTCTATTTGGTTTAAAGCTATGATATATATACATATATATATATATATATATATATATATTTTTTTTTTTTTAGTACATCGATATTTTTACCTTAGAAAGAAGAGGATTTCGGTTAAGCTACACAATGGGCAATCTAATTTGGTATTGAATTTGCCATCCACGAGATTCGAACCTAAGACTTTTCATTTCCAAGTGAAGAGGAATATCATCAAACCGTAGTACTAAGTGGCTAAAGTTTTGATACTTCTATATAATATTAAAATCATTTTAAATACATGTTTAAGCAAGGTTGTAAAGGCGCTTAGTGTTAGTGGAGCATTAGGCAGGGGCTAGCCTAGGTGTCTAGGCAGGCCTAAATGGGGGGGGGCTTAGTGTAAGATCCCACATCACCCAGGGGTGTGATCCTTAAATGTATATTCTCATCCTTACCTAGCACGAGGTCTTTTGGGAGCTCATTGGCTTCGAGTTTCATAGGAACTCAGAAGTTAAGCGAGAAGGGGGTTAGAGCAATCCTATGATGGGTGACCCACTGGGAAGTTGCTCGTGAGTTCCCAAAAACAAAACCGTGAGGGAATGGTAAGCCCAAAGCGGACAATATCGTGCTACGGTGGTGGAGCGGGCCCGAGAAGTGATTCGTCCCGGGCCGGGATGTGACAATTTGGTATCAGAGCCTAACCCTGGTTGTGGTGTGCCGACGAGGACATCGGGCCCTTAAGGGGGGTGGATTGTAAGATCCCACATCACCCAGGGGTGTGATCCTTAAATGTATATTCCCATCCTTACCTAGCACGAGGCCTTTTGGGAGCTCACTGGCTTCGAGTTTCATAGGAACTCCGAAGTTAAGCGAGAAGGGGGCTAGAGCAATCCCATGATGGGTGACCCACTGGGAAGTTGCTCGTGAGTTCCCAAAAACAAAACCGTGAGGGAATGGTAAGCCCAAAGCGGACAATATCGTGCTACGGTGGTGGAGTGGGCCCAGAAAGTGATCCGTCCCGGGTCGGGATGTGACACTTAGGCTGTTTTTTTTATTTTACTTAAATTTATTAGTGACGTCACTTAGTACTACGGTCTAGTGATATTCCTCTTCACTTGTAAGTGAGAGGTCGTAGGTTCATTTCTACATTATTCCTAGCTTATTGTGAGGCTAAGTGACCCCCTCCCCCTAATGTAGATAATATCGTTTGTTAAAAAAAATTAAATTTATTTGTAACATATAAATAAAGGTTATTTAGACTTAAAAAATACAAAATTGTATTAGGATACATAAATTCCAAAATTGCAAAATAGAATAATATATAAATTACAAAGTACTAAAACATATTGAAAACATAGGAAACAAACACATAATGATTGTTCATCCAAATATTCAACAAGTATCTTACGATTTTTTTTAAAATATAAAATGCATGATGAAAATTATCTATTTTCTACCTAAGTAAGAGTCACGACCTAAGTGAGGGCGTAGGTAGCTCTATGCATGAATTCTTAATTTTTAGACACCTAAAGATTAATTGGAGTGGTGGCCAGCCACTTAGCATCTAGACGAGGCCTAAATGGCGCTAGTCATGGATTTTAGAACAATGATTAAGAAGTTTGAAATTAAATTCAAATGATTAGACATGTCTTTTGTGAGACACTTAAACATCTATAAATTGAGGACGAATTCTCAAAGAAAACGAAGATGAAGATTCCCACAAAGTATACCATCTCCACCTTTTTCATTGAAAAACCAAAGTACTAAGAACAATTTTGCATATTTTGTTTTTGGTTCAAGCTTGAGTATTCTTTGTTATCTATTGTGTACTTGGGGTTTATCTTAGGAGTGTGTAAAATGTTGACAACTAATAGGCGCGTGAATGATGAATTTTATTGGGTTGGAGTAAGGCGGATTGATAAATAAATATTTCAGAAGTCCTGTTATGGAGTCAACGGCTTCGATCGAACTAAGCCGTCTAAACGGATCAACAATGTCACCACATCCTATTAAGCTCCAGAATGATAGGCAATGTTTACAAACCTTGTTGAAATCGACCATATTTACTCCACGAGACACATAATCTTAGGGGTGGTTCGGTATGGGATACCGAACCGAAAGTAGTATCCCGAATCCCAAACCGAAATCTTTTGGGACGGGAATTTGAAGACCAATCCCAAACCAAAATTTCGGGAATCCCAAATTTCGGGAATCCCGAAATATTTTCGGGATTTCGGGACAAATCGGGAATCCCAAATTAAAATATGAAATTATGAATTATTCTTCAAATATATAATTTAAGAACACATTCATGAACTAGGAATGTCATTTCATTCACACTACCATTTAATCAAATATTGGCATGCTTGATTGTTTTTATCAGAGTCAAAATTCAAATTAATTAAATCCTTTTGACAATCTGTTAAGAGACAAAAGAATCAAACCTTCTGAAATCATTAGCCATGACAGCAGCAATAATAAAATCCAAATGAATATCAAACAGAACATGAAAAATATGCAAGGTGTAAGACATTCCAGGTTGCAGAGCATGAATTAGAAACTACTAGCATCAATTATAAAAGAATAATATATAATATATATGTATAAATTAATAATATATAATTTCGGTTTGGTATGGGATTCCCGAAATATTGAGAAGCCAATCCCAAATCCCATACCAAAATTTCGGGATCGGTTCGGGATAGCATCCCGAAAATTTCGGGAATTTCGGTTTGGGAAATTTTTGGTTTGGGATCGGAATTTTTTCGGTTCGGTTTGGGATTTTCGGGAATTTTTTCCACCCCTACATAATCTAATCAATATGGGGATTAGATATGTTTTTTATATTCTTAGAGATTCTTAATGTCATGTCAATGAAAAAAATAACCTTGCATGTTCAGATAAATAATTGAACTATTTCAATTTTATCAATTAATGAGTTTGATACAAATTTATTTCTCTGCTTCTTTGTATAAAAAAAATAAAAATTATTAAAAATAAACAAAAATGAACATAAGAACACAAAAATTGTGTGGAAAATTCACCTTAAATTTCATGACTAGAGAAGGAAGGATAGAGATGGTTCTTCAGCTTCATTTAAAATTGTGAGAATGTTTGTCTGCATGAATCACCACACCCACAATCCATCGGGATTGTTGTTAAAATCCCCAGAAATTCTTTCTCAATCGTCAGATTAAAATACATCTAACGGTTAATATAGAAAAAAAATCACTGTCACCTTAATGATAAAATTTCACATAGAAAATATAAACCGGCTCCGGCAGCGCAGGACAAAGTACACCAACCATCCGTCCCTTAATTCACATTTAAGCCATTTGAAAATATCCTAATCAACACGTAAGTAATTTGTTAATAGAAGATAAATACATTAATTAATGCTTAAAGTAATAATTAATTATTAATTATTAATCATTAAATTATATATTACAAAGTATGATTAAATATTAGAAATTTTAATGAAACATTATCATTTTTAACGTTAAAGGTATTTCCCCAAAAAAATTTTCTATTTTCACTTTTCATCTACACCTCCCTCTCTCTTAGTCTGGAGTCTGGAACTTCTTCCTTCTTCCTCAGACATAGTTGAGAGAGGAGAGAGAAAGACAAGCTTACAAGCACTGCTGACAGTGAGAGTCACCGAGTTCTTCATTTCATACATAACAGAGGTATACATACAAACTCTCCTTTCCCGCATCATTATATATATATATATATATATGTATATGTACTATTCATTTGTGTGGTTATTAATTTGTAAAATGGCTTCTTTCTTCATTCCCAGTTGCTGCTTCATCGTTTTGCTTCTCTTTTGGGGGTTCAAAGTTTGAATCTTTTTGCTTTCTCTCTATTTGTTGGCGTTACAGTGTGATTCAGGTCATTTTTCACAAATATATTTACCATTTTTTGCATCAAATTATGGTGATTTAGTTGAATTTGCCAGTCACTCACTCCAGTATAATGCATTGAGGGTTAGTAATTTTAATTAGGGTTCTTTTGGATGTGTCAGTTACAGCTTAAAGAAGTTCAGTACCCATGCCGCCAATGCCGAAGAAAAATCGAAAGATGGCGGCTGATGCCTGCCGTGCAATGAAGGAGTTTGGCATTTCGGAAGTTCGAACGAGGGCGGGGGTTAAGGAACTTCTGAAATTGTATGAGAACAACTGGGAGCTTATTGTGGAGGACAATCACAGAGTGCTGCTTGAGTTTTTATTGGAAGGTGACACTGACAAGAACAAGGAAGAGGAAGAGGAAGAGGCAGAGGCAGAGGCAGACGAAGAGGTAGTATTGTTTTCCTTATCGAATTTTGTCATGGGATGTTTGGCTTGTTGAATGCTTGTTATTATTATTAGATTTTGTCTTTAATTACTCTCATCTTGTATATATGTCATAGGAGGGAACTATGAAAATGTTTCAACTAAATCATTTCTTTTTTCGCGCTTCATTTCTACGTATACGTTATGCTTATGCTTGGTCCTCATGCTTCATTCATTAGATAGTGGAACAAAAGGGCAAAGGAGTTTCGATATGTGAATCAAAGGTGAGTACTTTTTGATTCGTGGTTGTGAAGTTTCATGTCATGGAGCTCTCGTTGACAATGCAGACGGCATTTATAGACATTATAGTTCTTTTTCTTTTCCCACTTGCATGCTTATATTCTAGTGTTTTCGTGTTTCATATAATTTTGTGCCAGGCTGTGAAACGTAAGAACAAAGCAGCTCCATCTCATGGTAAAACTGAAGATGTTCAACTTCCAATCAAGAGATATTGCACAAGGCAACAGACAAAACAAGCATTGTCCCCTTTGAAATGCGCCACACCTTGCCTCGTAGAAACTCCATCAAAAATGGCACATCAGAATGAGGATTCTGAGGAATCTGAAGACTCTCAACCACTAGTGAGAAGAAGTCGCCGGAGACTCCAAGAAGGAGAGGTTTTGGACAGTGGGAATAACTTCAGTCCTGTACGTAATCGCAATACACAGCTGGAAGAAAGTCTCAATATGATGTGTGAAGATAGTTTTTCAGATTTTGATGACGGTGGCTTGAAGTTCTTGGAAGTGAAATCATCCACTGTGGACAGTAGAGGAGCTGTTTTAGATTTGTCGCTGTTTGATGTTGAATCATCTCCTCCAAAGCGAGAGCTCGAAATGTCTTTGATTTGTCACCCTTCTCTACATTCTGATTTCGATTTTCCACATTCTGATGAAGCTCTAGAATTATTGGAAGAGACATGCATGAAATCATATGGGGTCAGAGAATGCTTAGTGGAGACAGGATTTGATTCCACTTTTGATGAAAGTACAATTTCCAGAGATGTAGCAGAGTTAAAGAATTCTGATGCACAAGATGTTCTTGAATCTCATTATCAAGGCAATGATTGCAATACTCTTAAGTTCCCCGAGCGAATTATTTGTATTTCAGAATCTTATCAAGGTCGTTCCCCATATACCCAAGCATATAGCTTTTGGCTCTTTTAATGATCTTCACCGCTTAATTGGTTTTTCAAGTACGGATATTGAGAGCATCTGTGGTGAATCGGCAAAGAGATTAGTGATTTTCCAAGGCCAGAAATCTCCAAAATTACGCAAGTTGGAGGAGGCTGCTCATGACTACCATTCTTCCATTGGAGTTATAAAATCCGGTGTTTATATTGAAGACATAACTAGAGGTGAGGAGAGAGTGAAAATTTCCTTGGAGGATGGAAAAAATGTTGAAGATCTGCCAAACTTTCTTTACATCCGTCAGAGTTTAGTTTATAAGAATGCCTCTGTGAAATTTTCACTTGGTCGTATGTCTCATGACAGTTGCTATTCACGTTGTTTTGGGGATTGTCTGACATCGCCCATGCCTTGTGTCTGTGCTTCTGAAACTGGGGGTCAGTTTGCTTACACACCAGGAGGATTGGTCAAAGAGAAGTTTCTGGAAAAATGTATAGCCTTGAAGCGGGAACCTATACAACACCACTGCTTCTATTGTAGAGAGTGCCCTCTCGAAAAGTCTAAGTACGAGAAGAGTTCTGTGGCATGCAAAGGCCATTTGTTACATAAATTTATTAAGGAGTGCTGGCATACATGTGGATGCAATAAGAACTGTGGAAACCGGATTGTTCAGCAAGGCATCAGCGGGAAGTTGCAGGTTAGGTTATTCTCTGTAACTTTCAGTTGTCAGTTGTAACCCTAGTTAATAACATAGCTAGAGCTAAATCAGTTTTAAATGCTAGAGTCATTTGAGTGGTTGTTTATATGTTCCAGGTATTTTTGACACCCGAAGGGAAAGGATGGGGTCTTCGAACACTGGAGGACTTGCCAAGAGGAACTTTTGTTTGTGAGTATGTTGGAGAGATATTAACCAACACAGAACTAAATGAGCGAAATGTGCCAAGTACTGGTAAGAAGCATGCATACTACACAGTGCCACTAGATGCGGGCTGGGGTATGAAGGGTGTCTTGAAAGACGAAGAGGCACTTTGCTTGGACGCTACTGTTTATGGAAATGTTGCAAGATTTATCAATCACAGGTGAACATTCATACTCTATATACACAGGACACTTCCTCCTCCCCCTTCCGCCAACGTTGAACTTTTTTGTTATAATAATTATTGTTTGGTGTTTCTTTTCTTGCTTTTCAAGTTTGCTTTTCGCCGCAGGGGATGAACCAATATTCTATTTCTGCTGATGTTAAAAATATTTCTGCCTCTTACTGGATATATCTACTTGCACTATTACGGGCGAAGTAATTTTAGCTTAATATAGACACATTTATATACATTTATAGGAAGAAATCTGATGCACTTGATCAACAACGATGATAACAGTTGCTGTTCCTTTACGTTGTTTCCAGTTTCTTTATCCTCTGCTGTTCCTTTACGTGGTTTTCAGTTTCTTTATCCTCAACTCAGTTCAGGTTACCCTTTTCTGCCAAAGTTAACCGGTTACATAACAGGACTCCCCTACAAATATCTTGGGCATGAACATGAAATCTTTTCTGTGGACTGCCCAGTTTCTTTTTTCTGTCGTAGATTGCGTGCAAACTTAAAGTTCCGCTATCGTCCAGTGACTAATCTGTTGTACAAACAAAAAAAAATTCAAACTTTATCCTGCAATATAAATATCTGAAATATTGGACGAATGTGTGGCATTCAATAAACTAAATGAATGGTAATTAATACGATCATGGACAAGAATCATTCATCTCAGAATGTATTATAATTTCTTTATTGAAACACCATGTTTCTCATTCAAGCTGTCTCAGCGTCAGTCGAGTATATATATACCTGAACGGTTTTTATTCTTCAGTATCTTGATTGTATAGTAATAGTACATTTATTGTTCAGGTGTTCTGATGCTACCTTGGTTGAGATTCCTGTTGAAGTGGAGACCCCGGATCGTCACTATTATCATGTATGATTTCTAAAAAATTAATGACCTCGTCCTTTCAATCTTGTTTTTACGACTAGAACTAGTCAATGCATTTCTTCATACGGATACAGTAAACACAAGCTTACTTGATGTTTTTCCTTCTTGCAGCTTGCCCTTTTCACAACAAGAAACATTGCTGCTATGGAGGAGCTCACTTGGGTAAGAGGGGTTCACCAATACATGTTATTAGTGTTTGTTTGGTATCAAGGTCCAGCTTTCATATGTCTCTGTTGTTGCAGGACTATGGCATTGACTTTTGTGAGTGTGATCATCCCATGAATGCGTTTCAATGTCTCTGTGGGAGCCCACTCTGCCGTGATCGTAAGGAGTCCAAGGGTGACGTGCAGCTACGCACTTACGGTCGACGAAGACGATGCAGAGTGTAGTTTCAAGCACAATATGTCATCTCATACTATAAAATAGTTACCATGCTTTTTGATTAAATTACTAATTTGGTAATGAATTCTGCTGTTGTAATGGAAAAATCCCTCAAGCAGAACGTCGTGAACTTTTGCGGACATGACAACAGATTGAATTCTTGTGTTTTGGTGCCTTCAATTGACTTTCTCAAAGCCAAGTGTTATTGGTTTGATCTGGAAAAAGGGAATTTGTGGTGGTGGGGTTGGTGGAGAGGGATGGGAGAGCATCCGCGGGCGGATTCCTCCGTTTGCTCCTCAGCCTCAGAGGTATTTGCAGCCGTTTCCAGCCGTTGCTCTCCACCCAAGGGCAGGTTCTTACGCTTCACTCGCCTATCCGCCTTACGTCTTACTTTTACTGCTATATTGGTAGTTACTTCACTTTGCTAACATAAAACAGATACTGGATTTGCCTATTAACGATAGTGTTACATTGACTGAGGGCGAAGCCACGGATTGGAGGGAGGGAAGCAACGAAGAAAAATGGGAGAGAAGCAAGGTGGAGGCAATGAAGAAAGAAGAAAATAAGGCAACGAAGAAAAAGATTAAGAAAAAGAACTAAAGATGAACATGATAAGATCACATCCACCACCATACTCATTTTGGTCATTTTATACATTCACTACTGTTTTATATAAAAATCTACCAAATACTTAACACATTGGTTTACAACTAGAGTTTACCAAGCACCTTATTGCTTCATTTTACAATTGTTTATTCTCACAACAAAGCATAAGTAGTTCTTCTAAAAACACAGCAATACTGAACGAGGCCCAAGTAGCCAAACGGATCATTTATACATAAACGATTACAATCAAATTCAAAACATTTGATCTATAGAACATAAGGAATGAGAGCCTTAACATTTTTGGGAAAATCTTCAAACTTGGACACATACCATCTTCTCGTCATGTAGCTCCTGGCGATCAAGTATAACGTTGAACCTATGGTGAAGGAGAATCCATAGAGAGTTTGAGAAATAAGAGCAACCCCTACAAATCCTATGATTTCAAAGAGATAGTGAGGGCATATAATGATTCCAAACAAACCACCCTTGGGAATCTTATATTCCTTGTCACCCTTTAACCTCCTCATTCTCGAAAGAAGGCAATGATGGTAGAAATTGCCAGAAATCCCCAGTATAAACAGCAGACAGCCAAGGTACTTCAAATCGATTGATGGCTCTGGAAGCCCTTTCGTTAAGGATTGAGCATAAGTCACGCTTGCAGTACACACACCATAACTAAGAGAGATGATAACCGCGCTATCAAGGATCATTCCTCCGCTGTACTTGTGAACAAAAAGAACCTAGAAAACACGAAAGACCATATTTTCCGTGACTTGAATAATAGTTGAAATTATTGTTAATGATACCAACCATAGTTAAAAGCTAAAACTTCTTCCCTGGAGGATAGAGCTGAATAGTCCTAGCTACCAGGTTTTACTAGTTTACATGCAACAATAAAATATCAGACTCGTTTTAGGTAGGGATTTTCATGCATAAGCCCTTTATAACATCACATTTTAGAAAGAAAGAAAAAAACACTTCAAACTCAATACTTTTGAGCAAACCCCAACTTACATACAGCTTACATTGGAACACAAAAGGAATTTCATAACCAAGAAACAATTAGAGCATGACAAAGTGATTTTTTATGAAGGTTTTCGTTTCTCCAATTGAGCTGTTGAAGTGTTTTTCTACGAACCTTCTAGTTCTCGGGGTTTTTTTTTATTTATTTACTAATATAGCTAGAGGAGACTATATACTCAAAAAATCATCAAATGAGCTTGTGCATTTCTTGGCCATATCTGGAAAGAGAAAAATAAAGGGGAAGGGGGGGGAAGTAGTACTAGTACCTCTAAAATCCTTTTCAAAAAGTGAATTGTCAGAGCCGAAGACAGCAACAGCATTCTGATATCCTCTTGAGGATAAATCACAAAGGATGCTACAGCTGCAAGAAATGCCGGAGTATAAGCTATCAGCATGCCTGTTCTACTAGATAGTTTGATTTCCTTTACAGCGAAGGTTTTAGAACCGGAATTCCAGAACTTGGAATAGTGTAAGTGCTTTTCTCTTAGCTCCAAGAACCCATACACAGCTAATATTGTGAAGCTAATCACTGACATTGATGTGACGAAAAGAGAAGAAAGTTGTGGGAAAATGTATGTCGTTGGCATAGTGGCCACCGTGATTAGTCTTTCGTTTCTCCCTTTATTTCCCTCTCTGCCTCAGATTTCTGCAATAACCACAGATATATAGGCTGTAAGGAAATATCAACACCAGTAGATAATCTTAATTCCATAAGAAATAAGAACATAAATAATATCCTAAATATTATTCTGCATCATTTCAATAGCCAAAACCTATCCTCCGAAATGAAAGGTAACCATAAAAGCATAGCAGAACTTGATTGATTACTGCAAAATAATAATAATAATAATAATAATAGTTATGCTTTATGTTACCATGTAACTCCTTTGCATCGATTTTATGTCTCGACAAATTTTTCGTATCGAATATTCAACATTTCCTCTAAATGCTCCCAATAGACTAACTATAGGCTGCATGTAAATGCAACATATCAAACTGTATAACCAGAGAACAAGAGATGAAGGAACCAAAACTTCTCCTTATAAGAACAAGATACAAGCACACTGCCACACTTGATGCGAATTGTGTCATCCCTGATTTACTTCTTTTGGACAATTCAATGACCATAAGTATTTTGTGTATTAGAAGAGAGAGTTGATTTTCACACACCAATTTTAACCTCTCACACATCCCTCTTTAGCTTGTCCCTCATTTTTCTAATTAGAGACGTTTTGTATATGAAAATTAGACGCTCTAAAGTTAAAAAAGTTGATCTTTTTGCAAAAGATTCATCTATGCATATATATGGTCTTGCTACTTTAAGGATGCCCTTAATTCTAAGACCATCTGAATAACGAATTTCAACAATTAAAACCGTCTACGCTTAGTTCCTCATTCAAGGTTCATCATTGCATGCAAAAAATCATCTATATATGTAACGGAGGATCCATTAACGCACATATTGGGTCCGGGAACCCTACGGAAGCTGGAAAAAATGGTTCGTATGGTCCTACAAGAATCCTATGAGATCCAACATGGCATACCGAGACTCAACGGAGCTATGTACAGATGATAGCTGGTGTCTTTTGATAAAAAATTAAAAAAAAAAGACCTGGAGGTGCCAACAAAATGTCGACAGGCCCACCAAGTGTTCGATGAAATGCCTCAACTGAACTACTGCACGGTATGCCATGTTGTAATGTTCACATCTAAAATAAGTTTTGAACTCTTACGCTAGTGTCGTGCAGAACACCGAAGTTCGCACAAAAACCGAAGTTTGCATATCGTTAGCTATAGAATAAACCAACACCAATTTTTTCGAATTTCTGGAACCCTAAAAATTAATATTTGCAAACTAAAAAACAATACAGCGGCTGCGGGGTTTTTCTGAGAGGGAGAGAAGAAGTGAGCAAAATATGAAAATTAAGATGATTTGAAATGAATATTAGAAGATATAAATTACATGATTCAGGCGCAATGGAGTGAAAGCCTACCAATTAACCAATGAACTGGTATCAGTAAAATCAACATATAAAGTAAGAGAGAGAGAGAGAGAGAGAGAGAGAGAGAAGTTCACACCGATGGCTACAGAGGACCGTCTGAGTTGTGGTGGTGGTGGTAGATCGCGCCAAAACAACAGTTCTTATATTGGGAGGCAGAGACGTGTTGGAAATAGAACGGACGACTTTTGCTAATTTTTGTTCACATCGTGGTGTGTTCTCTCGTGTCTTTTTTTTCTTTTCTTTTTTTTAAGTTCATAGCTGACTATAAATTTGCTTCTACACCATTAGAGAGTTTCTAACCAAGATCTTCAATTTTTAACTTTAAAGAAATTTTGTAATCCGTCGTTTACCAGTGGATCACGTATCTTTCTCCATCAACATGTTGGGCGTTGCTGGTATAAAATACTGAGACATGTAATATTTAAAACATTGTGGGTCTCCCCGACGGCAGGCAACTGTAGCTTTCGCGATCTGCGTGTAGTCTCTTTAGAACAATGACACATGGCTTAGTGGGGACAGGATTTGATTCCACTTCTATTGTTACAACGCAAATACTGAGACCAGGAACAAAAAAGAACAATGACACGTGACCCATGACCCATGACATAAAGTTTGAGCGGCTCATAAGGGAAAGTCCTTTTAGCCATTAATATCTGACATTCACATAATTCCGCATTTTAATCTTTAAGATTTAAAATTAATAGAAGTAACCATTGATTTTGTCCATCATTAATTGTCACATCCCGGCCCGGGCCCCCACCACAACCCGGACCTGATCCATCACCGTAGCACGATATTGTCCGCTTTGGGCCCCGATCACGCCCTCACGGTTTTGTTTCTGGGAACTCACACGAGAACTTCCCGATGGGTCACCCATCCTGGGAATGCTCTCATGCGCTACTCGCTTAACTTCGGAGTTCCCATGGAACCCGAAGCCAGTAAGCTCCCAAAATGCCTCGTGCTAGGTAAGGATGGGAATATACATTTAAGGATCACTCCCCTGGGCGATGTGGGATGTTACAATCCACCCTCCTTAATTGTCACATCCTGGCCCGGGCCCTCACCACAACCCGGGCCCACTCCACCACCGTAGCACGATATTGTCCGCTTTGGGCCCCAACCACGCCCTCACGGTTTTGTTTCTAGGAACTCACACGAGAACTTCCCGATGGGTCACCCATCTTGGGAATGCTCTCATGCGCTACTCGCTTAACTTCGGAGTTCCCATGGAACCCGAAGCCAGTGAGCTCCCAAAAGGCCTCGTGCTAGGTAGGGATGAGAATATACATTTAAGGATCACTCCCCTGGGCGATGTGGGATGTTACAATCCACCCTCCTTAATTGTCACATCCCGGCCCGGGCCCCCACCACAACCCGGGCCCACTCCACCACCGTAGCATGATATTGTCCGCTTTGGGCCCCAACCATGCCCTCACAGTTTTGTTTCTGGGAACTCACACGAGAACTTCCCGATGGGTCACCCATCATGGGAATGCTCTCATGCGCTACTCGCTTAACTTCGGAGTTCCCATGGAACCCGAAGCCAGTGAGCTCCCAAAAGGCCTCGTGCTAGGTAGGGATGTGAATATACATTTAAGGATCACTCCCCTGGGCGATGTGGGATGTTACATTAATCATGTTGATCATTCCACAAAAAATCTCCCTTAAATAAGGCTAAAATAACAAAAATACCCTCAATTCGGATGTTTAGGTGGACATTTTAAGTCGAGATGTGTCAGTTTGGTATTTGAGATTAAAACTCATATTGGGTTTGGTTAGAGGTGTGGCCATCCAAACCAAACTCAATAAATGTTCGGGTTTAGTTTCACATACTTTTCCAATAACATCCTGCCCAATTGAGTTTACAAATTGTTAATTAAATTATCAATATCTTTTTAAACTCAAATTTAATACTTAAACTACCCTCATAAACCCAATTTAATATGGAAATTTATCTTTAGACCCATTTAGAAAACAAAAACGATAAATCACTGTTCTGCAATTCATTCAAAGTGTGCTTTATCTGAATTGGATTTCCATTGTTCTTATCCCATTGCCGCTTCATAAACAAGACCTATTCAAACTCGCTCGCACTCCCATTGCCACAGTAATTAAACTCTCTATAACTCAAAATCATTTTATAAATACACGTAGTAGTAATAATAATTATACAAAGACAGAAGTTACATAGAATGGGTTCTTTTGTCTGGTTTGTAATGTTTATTAAGCCCAAATGCTTAAGCCAGTATTTGGGCTATAGTATCGTGGGTTCTTCTGAAAAATAATTGTTGTTGAGTGGCATTTCCTTGAATATATCCATTATGATTGCTCGCACAATTCCTGTTCCCTCTTACCAGAAAGGAGAAGCTTTTTAACTAGCTGGTGAATCCATACATTAATCTAATAAGATGATTAGCTCACCATCAAGTCAATCCTTATTCGTCGTTCGATCTTAATTTAACGGTGAAGAAAAAAGTACAGTAACAAAGTTAGATAATCATTTGTCGTTGCATTAAGATAGAACAGTGAGTGACCACAATTTCTTTAGACCATGAAATCTAAGAGAACAAGACTAGTAGTAGGACATTCTTACCATATGAATCTCAAATTTCAAACTTTGCACGCAGAAGAAGGCAAGAAACAGTATCATTGAAACCATATTCTGTCCAAATGCAATCCAACAGTAAATATGAATAGAACTTGAATCGGGAATCACAACTATGCCAAAATTTACATAATCCTGTAATACGCAATTCCACAGTAAGTATCAACGAAGGGAGGCACATTCGTCGATAATTTGACTGACCTTATCTATATTCTTACATGTGTACAAACTATACAAATCGTGCATGGTATGACACGAACATATATACGACGAGGGCTTAGGCAATTGTTATAATGGGATGAGTCTAAGATTTTGATTAATAATAATGTACAACTTCACTAGCATTGTGCTATGTATGTACAACGGAATATCTTAGGTATCAAATGATTGATAGTGAACAAACTTAGGGATTACTTTTATTGAGTTCAAATCTCAGCGATCAAATTGATGAGTTCTACAAATCTCATGGATCATTTTAGATAAAAAGCCTAAAAAACATGAAAAATTGATGCAATGCCATTAATGTAGTCTGGTGGCTAGTTCAAATTCGATATAATACTTCCTAGTAACTTGATTTCTTCCAAGCGGTGTTTTAATTAGGAATTGTGCTTTCATTTAGTAATGGTCCTTTACTTTGCTATAGTGGGCTAGGAACTTGGCTTTGCAGTTATAATGGTTGCTGGCTAAGCTCTCTTAGTACTCAGAATGAGAAGTCAGAACATCAGAGACAGCAGGGGATTTGAATTTTGAAGTTTATGTAATTGTTCTTCTATCTATTGAAAATGAATCTCACATTGATGAGAAGATAGACCGTGCATGAGCTTATAAGTAAGTTGAACCACTCCTTATATTGACAATTGGTTTTATAGTAGAACCTCAACTTTATTCGTGGTATCAAAGCAAGTTGTCCCACGTGTAAAGCTAAACAGCCACACATGCTCCACATGATATCAAAGCAAGTTGTCCACATGTTAGGCTTACGTGAGGGTGCGTGTTGAAAACGAATTACTCTTGCGTGATGGTGCATGTTGAGAATAAATTCTACATTAATGGAAAGATAGAACAATTCCACATTTAATGGGAAGATGAAACCTCAACTTTCTTCACTGTCAAAGTCTAAGTAAACTAAAATAGCTTCGGCATCATTGTTTGGTAATGAATGATTGTGATGTTGCTTTGGTTTCGGGGTGCCCCGACCCTTTCAACGATCAAATTTTCATGGTTTTTGGTTTGGATTTGAGATTGAACTCCAACCTGTCACATTTCACTTGTAAGTGGAAAGGGTGAAGTTTGACTTATATAAAATGCAAGCAGAATTCAATGTTTACGTGGGGTTCGATATCTAGTTATAGTTGATACGTTGTGTGAAATCGCTGACCTCAATTTTCAGTCTTTAGTCGTTGTTTGACCCATAAAACTCCAAAACGATGCCGAAATTCGTGTCATGTTTTTGGACGGAAAGGCTTTCGGCGTCGACCAAAACGATCGATGGCGCACGTTCACATTTTCAAACAAATGGATGCTGAGTTTGAAACTGTTTGATTTGATGATTTAAACTAGATTTTGACAGATTCGATTTGATTTGATTGGATTGGTTGATCGGCTACAAAAAGAGACAATAATCTTTTTGCCATAAAGCAAGTGATGAGGCTTAATCTAATATTTCTTATAATGCCACATGAGTCGCATTGACTCACATGTCACTGACAATCTCTCAAGTATTCTTTTTTTTATTTTTTATTTTTTTAAACAAAACATATTTTACGCTAACAAGGAGGAAATCGGCTTAATTTTATAATGAGTTAGATATAATGTAATTCAAATTTGTATTTGACGATAATCGAACTTAAGATCTCTCACTTACAAGTGAAGATATATATCAAATGACTTAGATATTGAATTTTATACAACAATAAAATGAGACATCCAATCAATGAATTAGAGACTAAATTATAGAATTAGTGCCTCACCTTTAACATTAGTTTAGATTTTTCTCCCTAAATTAAAAATTCGTTAATTAAAGTTCCTAAATTTCACCAAATGTGGAGAATTCTTATAATAATAAAAAATAATAAAAAAAGATTTCAACAGAAAATTTAATAGACGGACTGATGTTGTACTCTAAATAAATTTCAAGAATCTAAAGGCTCGTTTGGATGTGCTTTAAAATGATTGAAAACGCTTTTAAAGAAAATGTTTTTGTGTTCCCAAAGCACTTGAAATGCTTTCTGCAAGAAGCACCAGTTATGGGCTTCTTCCATGAAGCACTTTAAGTGTTTTTTTTTTCCTTCAGAATTACTTGCATTTTTACTAAAAATTGGTTCCAAAAACATTTTCACCAAAAGCACTTTCAGTCATTTTAAAAGCACATTTAAACGAGCTCTAAATGAACAAATTTTCAGTTTAGGGACTAAATCTAAACTAGTTTAAACTGTAAAGACTAATTCTATAATTTGCTCTTATAAAAACTGAACCACCAGTCTGAAGCTTGAGATACAAAATATACGCCGTGGCTCAATTGCATCTGGACAGCCACAACTAACTATGCGCATATAAATACACCGAAAACATGGTTACATGGAAACAATTTATATACCCCCTACCTAAAACTAAACAAGATGTAGGCCTATGAATAAAACATCTAGCTACAACTAAACCGAATTTCTTCATCGAACGTCATCGCTCCTCAATCTCTGGTGCCACCTTTCGTACAATGAAAACTTTGATACGGTTATTGGGTTCGAAGCTTTGGCGAAGGCAACTTCAAAGCAGATGAAATGACTCGTTTATATACTTCGCATCTGAATGAACCTCTCTGTTTTCAACACAGAATCATGGTATAGTCACCAATTATAACACTTGTACCAAGAAGGAACAAATCCATTTCTCCCAAAATTTACTTCATACAGAATCAGTACAATTAAGTACAAAACAGTATGTAAATGCTAAGTTGCTAAAGTATCCTAGTGTGGTTTTGAAGATATCAAGATCGTCTGAAAGGTACAAAAACGCTGAGGAGCTGCAGCAGCACAAAGACACTCAGGTTAGACTCGTAGAGGGGTGAGCACTCATAGAGGCTCCTAGGTACTAATAATGACCGCAACCAACCTAGCCAGCAATGATACTCCAGACTAAGCCTGGGTAGGTTGTAAGACCAACCACCATCCTTGATTCTCACATTATTGGGTTGTGAATCAAGGTCTCGACACTGAGAGTTGACCACATCCTTTTATTTTACTTTTATTTTTTATTTTTTGAACTTCAAGCTTCAACGGAAATCTTTACCCTTCAACCATTAGAAAATTTCAGCATCAAAGAGAGAGATGGAAGCTTGAGAGCAGATAATAGTTTCTACAGCAGTTAGATGTCATAGCAGAATACTCCACCTTCCTAGTTCCCTGAGAGTGCAAATACGAGAGACGGGATTGGAATCCCTGTGTTACTAGGGAGCTATAGACAGTTTGATTTTGAATTACTTGATCTTTGGGTATTCACAAAAGAACCTATGTATAAAACACCGGGGAACTTTTATAAAGTTTTGTAGAGTATTGTGCTGTCTATTTACTTCTGCAGTTCATGCATGACCAATGGAGATTTATCTAAGCGATTATCACAAGGTGTTTGTTGTAAGGTTTTGGGTGAACCAAGAACCTATTTGACATTGTGGATTTGCACAGGCCACGCAAGGTTGGAAAGAAACATTGTAATGTTTAGGTTTCGGTTGTAAGGTTAACTTATATTGCGTGCTTCTCCTATTTGAAGGGTTTAGGTATACAGATACAAAAAAGGATTAAATGTCAATTTTTCTAGATATGTTGGTAGTACGGATGTAAGAAATAGATATAAAAAGTACTCTCCAATCAACATGTAACAAAATAGTAAAAAGGGAAAGGGACAGAACAACACCTCAAGAGAAATGGAAACTACAACGCATCAAAATAATTCATTCAATAATTTCGTATTCTAAGACCAAAGTAGTACAGCAAATAGTATGCTTACATTTGTCATAGCTGCTAAGCCATTGATCTCAACATGGAACCTAGTGTATCTCTGGAAACTTGAAACTTGACCTCCGTTTCTCCAGAAGTTGTCTTTGTATCTTGAAGCTGAGAAACCACAATAATGTCCATTGAACACTTGGGCAGACAAATTTAAGGAAAACAGAATAATTTCGTATAAAATCGGATTACTTAACGATATCATAAATGTTGACCACATATGGCCCGTTTGGTGAACTGGATTATGCTTAATCCAGCTAGACCCACCCTAAATATAACAGAATTATGAACCTCATAAAAAATCTGAGATAACACCCAGGACATATCAGCTTTTGACCCAAAAAAAATGACCCTTTCAGCTTCAGCACAGCGCAGCCATCAAATCCCTGATGACTGTTGTCGCCTCCTGCTGCTTCCAGCCAGAAAATAGCTTAACATTTCCTACCTTGACACCCCATTGGCATATCCTTTTACACCCAAAAGTCTGTCTTTCCCGATCCTTTTACCGACAGGAAATCCTTATTCTGGAAGCCCAAAATCTTACCTACAAGCTACAGCACAATTCCTACAACTTAACTTTGTTGAACTAAACCCACAAATTATTTTGCAGGTTACTCACTATTATACTTTCCCACCATAAACCTATATTGGCCGCTTAATCCAGAAATCTTTAGTTCTATACCATTCAACAACCTATACTGACAGCAGATAGCCCAATTCTCTGGAAATCAGAGCCGTCTTACATTTGACAACTCTGTGTCACAAGTCGAACTGTGATGCCAATCCAATTGTAAAACTAGGGTGAAAGCCTAGAAATTTAATTGTCATTACCTTAACACAAAGAAAAAACTGTTAAAAGATCTCAGCAAACTGAACTTCCTCAGAAAATTTGATGGGAGAGGGGCCGAAACTTTGAGTTTTCATACCTTCAAATTGATGACAGCAACTCTGTTGGCTGGTGCAGAGAGCTGCTGACTGACATAGGCCATCAATCTTAACATAGGCTCTAGTGTAACCCTTGTTAGCCTAAATTGTACCTCTTTCTCCCCTGCAGGATTTTTCCCATAATCTTGTAGCTACAGTTGAAGTAAAAGAAATTAGAACAAGAAGCCAAGTAGGGTACATGACAAGGAACTAGCAACACAAATAGGCTACGTCAGTGACCAAATTCAGCAAGCATAAGTTATTTGAAAATACAGTGAAAAGAATAATTAAATGGGTTCAACACAAATAGCACGAATATTTAAATGGTTTTCACAAGATGATAAATCACTTCCGCACTAAAGTAGAATTTGGTTAACGAAAAAGTTATCACCTAAAATGGGTCAAAATCCTATATCTTTAGAGAACATATTCCAAAATAAGACTCCAGACCTCAGGTATAAAGGAAACATTTTTCTTTACGACAGCAATCTTTTTCCCACCTCTTGTAGAGCACTCATTGCTGCATTGTAAGTCTCTACAGCAACTGCCCCTTCCTCTGCATACTTAATGGCTTCCCGACATAAATTGTTAAAGCGCATGGCCAATGTCTCAATACCTTGCAGATCTGAACTCTGTTCATCTAGTCCAACACAGGATTTAGCATTTCTTGTCCATCGCTTCAATATGTAATGTGATGGAAGGGTAAGAACATTTGTTACTGTGAAGACAGTTAAAATATGTCTACACAGGATGCCTGAATATTCAAACATTTGACAGCTGCAGCTTGCTTTTATTCCGGAGAAATTTAATATGACTATATACGCCTTGTCATCATGTTCATATTTTGCAACCCTGTATTTACGGACTATCCCATCACCCTCAATCTTATTTGCAGTATAAACAAAAGTTTCAACCAATTCCTCTTGAAACTTTGCAAAAACTTTTTTGGTATACAAGTTAGCTGCCTGCTGTTCCATTGGTGAAGGTGTCTTCAGTACAGGAGCAGTGCATATTGTATCATAATCTGCTTCTATTTCTTTTTCTAATGAATGCTCAAGAGCCCTTTCATACTGCTTAAATAACAGAGGTATACTTGTCTGTTGATTCACATAGCCATCGGAAAAAAATACTAACACCTTGGTTTGAGGAAATTGCAGCACAGAAAGTTCCATGAACATAGACCGGGGCCCATTGCTTTCGAGCATTATACACAGCCTGTAGCCAGTCGTTTCTCAGTAGATCGTACCTATCAAGAAGGGATGCCCATGATGATTCGAAATCCTCAATTGTCTCTGAAAAGTTGATGCAACTATATATCTCTCCGTAGAAGGAAGGATGACCAAGATATATAAGAGCCACTCTTTCATGACCTTCTCTTAAAATATGCCACTTGCATATACCGCATTTCTGGAAATACCTGAGCAACTGCTACTTTTATGGCTCTGTCTTGGTCTGTAGTTATAGAGACAGGAGGCCGTTCATTCATGGCAGAAAGCCATGTCCAAAACAGCCATGTAAAGGAAGACTCAGATTCATCTAGAAGTAATGCACAACCAAACAATTTACACCAGTGAAAGAAGCAAAGGGGACTTGGTAATGATTGGGTCGATACATTGTATCAAAAATTACAGCACCAATAAAACAAATATATCATTCCTTTAGCTCTGACTGTGAAGTAATGTACAACCAAACAAGACCTTCTGGCCATGATTGGGTCGATACTTGGTAATGATTTACACCAGTGAGAGTTTTCTGAAATATATGAACAAGTATATCATTCCTTTAGCTCTGACTGTGAAGAGTTCCTCAAGGTTACGCCCGCTGAAGCAACAATAAAACAAGCTGATTAATTATACAATATATATATATGAACTAAAGCTAATTATTATATAAAGGAGAAATTAGATTGTTTATAAGTTGAACACAAAATAGCAATGGTACGACCAACTTCCACTGTTTCCCGATAGAAAAGTGGTGTTTTGCATACATGCAATTGCAAAGAACGTTGGTCTTTTGTGCTATGATAGCTCTATTCTTGGAACATAAGTAACTGCTACGTTTCTTCCCATTACCTGCAACATTTGGAAGAACAGAAGAAAGCATAGATTCAGAACATTCATGTATGGCACTCGGAAAATTAAACAGTTTGTAGCTTGATCTTCGTATGTGCTGCACACGAGGAACTATATACATTTCAGCGAGCGAAGACATCCATACTGTTATTAAAACAATCAAGAAAGCGTCAATCTATCCTGATTCATCATTACTTCACAAAGTTTTCAAATAATAGATTAACCTCCACTATTCCTAGATCATATTTTATATGCACCAAGTGTATGTCTGGTTAATTTTCAGAGTTTCGGACTATAGTTGTCAGTACCGAGAAAAGTATACCTACGTGATGAAACATGTGAGTTTACTACTCGGTTTCAAGGGCGGCAATTTCGTATCTGACTTCTTCCAAATGCTCATTTATAGCGGTTACAGCATCCTGCACCCCTCTAATGGCTTCCTTGAGATCATTATCATACTGGGCATTCGCTTCTGCCTCTTCAGTTCCGGCAGCTTCTGTTATCTCGTGGAGATGCACGCATTCATGCTCCATTGGTCTGTTAAATCTGCAATTTTCATGACTCACCAGACGCTCTGAGGGTCTTCCAGCCCTCTTCAACACCTGAATTGTCACCGTCTTTAAAACAAACAAACAACCAGTATACTTCATGTCAGAAAACAATGGAGCCAAATCTTGCAACAAACAACATAAGTACACACATTGCTCACAGTAGCAGAAGTGCACCAAAGATTGTTCCTTTTTCTTCATTTCTATCTATACAAGAAATATTAGAGGAGGGGAATTCGCACACAAGACCTTGAGTAATTGTTCTTAACCGCTTGAGCTACGAGCCCTTTACGTGGATCATGGGGTTCTTTATCTAGTTGTTCTATAAGGCTATAAGGCTATAAGCATCTAATTAACTTGCTACCAACAAAGCAAAGCCTTGCCAAATTATTTGAGCGGCAATTATGCATGATAATATGAATTAAACAGAAAATTAAATTAAATTAAACAAAACTGGAAGGATATGACGAGTTAAATTACCAAATTCAGTTTCTGCTTCTCGTGGGTCTGAACAGCTCTGAGGAGATGGGCTAAATCAATCCGGGAGAAATCGGGATCGTTGAGGAACAGCGATTCGATCCGAAGAACTTGCTTCGAGCACTCGTTGAATTCGAGCGTCACCTCACTGCAAACTTGCTGGTACGCCAACTCCGCATCTACTCCCGAAGGGCGGCGACGACTCCATATACTCCCCAATCCCTCGTTTGAGCTTGGCGTAGGCCTCCGCCCTCCGCTGCTGAATTCCGAGGAACTCGCGGAGCAAAGCGACGGTTTTTGTTTTAGATGCCACACTTTCTTCTTCCATTGGGTCTGTGATTGATACCTTCTTGTCAAATTCTTCCATGCTCGGATCGGATAGTTCTTCCTCCTCCCTTCTGTCTTCCACCGCCACCAGGCCCGATGGAATACTCACTTTTATTCACTAACCCCTAAAACTCAAGACATCTGAACCCCATTTTGCAACGCGGAATGCACTCAAATGAGAAATGCTAAGAAGAAAGACTCTTGAGATGCCACGCCACTTTATACTGTCCGCTGGTATTACTATTGGGTGGAATAAAATCCCGAAATTTCCAAACCGAACCGTTCGGTACCCGATCCCAAAAAATTTATGCTTTCTTTCGATAACCCCGTCCCGAACCGAAAATTAGATTATAATAATTTATAATCAAATTATATTATTAAATATACAATTGTAATTATTATAGGTGGTTAGATTTGGTTGAGATTTAATCTCAATCATTCATTTATAATTAAAACTCTCTTGAGTCACTTGTCTTCATTCTGATTCTCTCTCCACTTTTCTTCGCTCTTCCCCGCCCAAACCCAAATCTCTCTCTCTCGACTAGCCTCCTCCTCAGTACTCCATACACTTTGATTCTCTCTCTCTCTCTCAAGTCTAAATTGGACCAAGTCTCTCGGTCTCGGTTTCACCGTCGCAGATCCTCGCCTGGAATTCTTACGACGAGACGCCACGTTCATGGAGAGGCGTCGTTAGGGCGCCGCCGCTGACAATTTCTTGGACGCGAATTATTTTCTTCTGTGGTTGATTTTTAGGTTTGTGAAAATTTGGGATTTCTGAAATTTTGATTGTTTCTGGAATTGTATTTCTGCAATTGTCATTTGCAACATCTTAAAGATTTCCCCCAAATTCAAAGAATTGATTCTTGCCAGTGTTGCTAAAGATACCTATGTCAAAGGTGTGTGAAAGTCTTTTTGTTTTCCTTATTTACAACTCGCATACATCCATGTGTATGTCTTCGGTTGCATGAGGATGTAAGCAATCAGTGGCAGGGAAGAAAAAGTTGGTAACGCTAATGCCATAATGTACACAATATTTGATGATGCTGAAGACATTTGAACTTGATATCTAATAGGATAGCAAGGGTCTTTCATATCCCAAGCGGTTAACATGGCTTAGTTATGAACTCCAAGTCTGGTGTTTGAAGGCAGAGAACATTTTGAAGACATCTCGTAAAATTAAAAACTCATGGAGGGCTTTTTGACTACTGTCGCTTCTTTTTCTGAGAGATGGAGGGCCGAACGATTTGAGTTAGCGTGAGAAGGAAGACGGCAGCAGTGACTAGCCCCCTCCATCCTCCCGGATGGCAGTTATTGCCTCTGGCACTCGCTGCTGCAATTTTGTGATCAAGATCGCTCTGTTGCTCTTCTTCTTTGTCTGAAAAACATACAAATAACAGAAAATTTTGAGAAAACTTAAATGAAATGAATACGGGCAGACCCCTAAGTGCTTTAATGGAGCATAATTTACCTGAGTCCATGATGAGGGTATTCAACCATTTCGGCCTACAAAAATCAGTATTTTTCATTTCTGCTTCACTGAACCAGCAAAATTCGTATTCTCCTGATACATTCTCCAGCGGTGACAAATCCCCACCGATGACAAATGGATCATTAGGATCTGGAGTGGTGTTGTGTTGGGTACTCATCTTGTCTTGGTGCTCTTGCACAAGCTCCACACCAAATTCCTTTACCCGAATTAACTGATCACGTACCATCGTCATTACGGAAACAACCACTTCATCTCCACATTCTAATATTATTGTTTGATTGTCCATTTTCCAATGGCTCAACCATGTCACATCTTCTCCTCTCCCTCCTGGACCACGGCAGAATCTTGGGCCATAGAGCCACTTCAGACCCTTACTCTTGTTACTCACTTCAATACTCATTGATGGATCAGGACCATAAGCCCAAATCCAACTCTCCTCGCTTGCATAGGTAGCAAAGATGTTCAAGCCCCGAATTTTGTGACTTGCAAGAAAAGGCACAATAAAAGAAATTGAGGACTTGGTACTTTTATAGTTGAACCGGCCAGGAACCTCATTCCCAGCAAAATATGTGCTGTATATACCTTGTTGATGCAGTCCCTGTGTACATGGCACGGAATCGACTATATTAGGCAACTCTTTCCGATGAGAGAGAGAGAGAGAGAGAGAGAGAGAGAGAGGCACCTGAACGGGACTCCAAATCCAATCAACATGTTTAAATTTTTGCAAGCCGAAACATTTCCTCATTTCCAAGTTGTGCAAGCTGAAAAGTTTCATTATTTCCACATCAACTTTGCCAATAGGTTCTAACTTGTGATAGTACTCCCACTCAATTACATTGCGGTTCTCACCATTGTGGTTCTCACCCACATAGGTCAATGCTCTCAACTCATTGGCTTGATATGTTACAGTTTTTAACGATATGCAACCACGTACATTAAGCCATCCAATTTTCGGCAACCCCACAAGTGATTCGAGCCTCTTACATCTCAAAAATGAGAGATCACAGAGCTCCCTCAAACCTTTGATGAAAACAGGTAGGCTAGAAATTGGATTATCATCTAAATATAGATCTTGCAACGAGGATAGATTACTTAAATCTGTATCAAAGGCATCATCAGAAAGATTGCACCTACTAAGGTTTAACCTTACTAAAGAACATGGCAAATAAGTCAAGATACTCGAACTTGTACCAGGCCGTAATTCACTTAGAATACCATCTGTTTCGAGAACTTTCACAGATTCCATCTTCTTCATCATCTCATCAAGATTTGAGCAACCAGATAAATTGAGTGTTTCAAGTGATTTTAGCATGCACATGTTAGGAAGCATCCTAAGATTCTTGCAATCCTCCATATTCAAGTACACAAGTCCCTCTAGGTTTCCAATGGATTCATGAACATCAAGCAGGCTTTTGCAATCTACAAGAATCAATTCCTCTAGATTGGGGCAGTATGAGAAGTCCATGGTTTGACTAAGGCCATGAGAATGGCTCACATCAAGGATCTTCAATGAAGGAAGAAACTGCAGGAAAAAAAATTAAAATAAAGAAAAAAAAAAAGAGAAATAATATTTGAGGGAGTTAATTCTAACATATGCAATTAGTCAACGAATCAAAACTTAAAAAAGCAAAAGAAGGAAAATGAATTGAGATGCGTAGAGTAACATACTTTTGTTCCTTTGTAGACTTGTGTCAAGCTACTATATTGCATTTCAAGAACAATTAGGCACTCTAAAGGAAAATCAATGGGTATAGAATCCAAAGGAAATTCAGGCCAACACAACCATCTTAATCCTGTAGGGAAATTTGCGTAACATCCCTCTAGCCGTACACGTCTAAGATGGAGTAGTTGTAATTTGTGCATCCTTTCAAATGCATTGGTTTCAAAGACTGTCTCATTTGTGTTTATTGGACTGTTTGCAGGATGCCAATGCATGTCCAGGACAAGACCTTGGATTGTTTGTGTACCCTAAAGAAAAAAAGGGAACAACATTAATATGGATAATTTTCACAAGAAGAGAAAAACATATATATATATCTAAAAGGCATGTTTCTACGTACAGTCTTTTCCCTCAGTACTCGGAAGGAATCCTTACGACGCCAAAGTCTACTACGTTTCTCAGGCTCTTCTGATTCTAGGCGAACTATTTCTCTTCCCATATCACGAATCAGATCGTGCATGGTTACCTTGTCGTGTTTATCAATTTTCACCAAGCATCTATCAATGAGATTTTGAATGCCAACAGTTGTATAGAAATCACATCCATCTAG